GTTTTTTTCCGTTGTGGGTGGGTTGTTTTTTCACAAGGTTGGTTTAAAAACGTTGGTTTGGTTTGCTTATTTTAAACCTTGGTTTTTATTTTCCGGTACCCCCCCCCCCCCCCCCCCCCCCCCCCCCCCAAACTCGATTTCGAGCGAAAGCAGCTGTTTTGCTAACAGTACTCGCAGTAACCGGCGATTGGACAACCACTTCAACATCTTCGAAGGCCTGACCAAGAATTGGCTGTTCATCGGGATCAGCGTCCTCATGTGCGGCGGTCAGGTCCTGATCATCATGGTCGGTGGCCTGGCGTTCAACATCTCGCCGCTCGGGCAGACGCCGGCAATGTGGGGCTACGCCATCGTCCTCGGCTTCATCTCTATTCCTGTGGGAGTCATCATCCGCCTTATTCCGGATCGCCTGATCGAAAAGTTGGTCCCGGATTATCTCAAGCGGAGAGCACACGTCAAGGTTCCCGGTCTTACCGTATCGGACGACCAGGAGCGTTTCGACCACTATCTCAACCCGCTCGTCGACGTCCGAGACGAATTGGCGTTCCTCAAGCGCGTCAAGGGCGGCCGAGTAAACAACCTCAAGTTCGCCATGAAGAACCCCCGCGAGTTTCTGCCGAGATACAAGAGCCCCTCCCATAGCAGGGAGCATTCGCGCTCCAACTCCATCAGCAATCGGCTGCCGCAGACGCCGACCCGCGGCGACAGCTTTGGTAGCCACTCGAACGTAGCAACGCCGGATTCGCGGAGGCGGAGCAAGAGCGTTCGATCCCGATCCAACAGTGCCCTGGGCGCTGCGACCGTCATGACAGGCATCGTCGCGGGAAGTATTGCGGCGGCTTGGTCGCCCATCGACCGCCGCGGAGATCCGGACTTTGGCCAGTTGCTGAAGCCAATCCCGGGCGGCCAGGAAGCCCAGCCGGAGTCAGGTGCATCACAATCGTCGCAGCAGGAGCCAACAGTGCTGGGCGATGAAGGTCTCACGGACGAACCCCAGGAGGTGCCAGAGGGGTTTTCGTCGGGCGCCAACGCTCAGTACGTACCCGTATTGAGCATCCCGAAGCCTCCGGCAGAGAAGAAGACAGATTCTTAGAAGGAGATCGGCTCTCTGCCCAAGGGAGATCACGATGATGCGTGGGGCCCGACAGCCACCACTCTCAACATCCTCAATGAGAACTAAAGGCCATAAATACTCTGGAAGTTTCCACTTCCAACATTCGGTGTTTTCCGACATGCTGTTTTGTTTCTCTTTTCACCGCCAGAGGCAGCAGCAGCCCGCGGTCTTACCACCATGTATTTCCTTGCTTCGAGTTGCGTCACAACCAGAGTGGGAAATGTGGAAGTCCCGAGAAACCATGTGCCTTGAGGAGACACAGGAGCTCATCTGCTCTCTCTCTCTCCTCCTTGGCAGGAAAACCCATTTTAGTACAAAAAAAAGCTGTACAGTAGGTAGTACATACATAACGGAGCTGCACATATGGAGAGGCAAAGCGTGGATTCGGCGTCTCGGAGGCTGACCTATCGTCCTCCTACCACGGTGTTGGTAGGGGTTCTGGGCGTTGGTAGTAGTAGATGGGGCCGTACAGAAAAGCGGTTCGTTTCGTATTGATAGAGCGAACATCCATTATAATATCGAAATATATATACCCTTTGTCTGTTCTAATACTGATACCTGTGCTGTTGATGACTCTGTGACTGTTGCCATCGTCCTCGGTGATACAATTTGGTTGGGTCAGGCTATCCTCAAGTCGAGAGCTCGAGGACAAACACACTTCGGGCTCCACTGACATGACTTGCCCAAGCCAATCAAGCCAATCAAGTGTCATACTGAAAGGCGTTGGAGAGGCAGCGCAAACGCAGCACACAGGTTTAAAGTTCCAGGAACGGAATCCAGGAATTAAATTGTGGTCTGTCTGCGGTAGACCTTTGTTCTCATCATGGAGGCGGCGTAGTGTCAGTCCGGGATGAACGGTCAATGCTTTTGCTTTTTGCTGCCGCTTCCCTCCCTGTGTATCATTCTGGAGGTGTTTGCAAGAGAGGTCTGGGATTCTGTTATTAGCTCATCTCACAGACTACATGCGTTTCAATTCCACTTTCTTACCATCCGGTCCACCGAGTAGCTCTTGGGAATACCATAGTAGAACTTGCAACAAGACGGACTAGGTTACAGTTAATAGCCGATTCTCTGGCCGCCACCCGCGCTCTGGTTCGCTCTGGTTTCGCAACAGATTTTCGAGGTTTCCCCCCAATTCTTTTCAATTTTCTCTCCCCTTTGCTACATTCTCTCTCCCCCTGTCCTTGTCCTTGTCCTTGTCCATCGCTCTTCAGATTCTCGTGGCCGCAATTCATCCATGCTTTTGACAGTTGCTCTTCCTTGGTGTTCTGCGATTCTTCCTCTGGCGTCGCGTTAAAGCCGACAAGCAAGGCGAGACCACCCATCGACACCTCAGTCTTTAAGCATAATGCTACTCGACTAGGTACTGTAGTCCTTCGAGAACTAGCCCGACTCGAGAATAATTCACTGGTCGAACTCTACACGTAAACACATTCACACGCCAGCCCTTCTCTCCCATTCTTCTTCCTCACACAATCCCGCTCTCTTTCTTCTCCCAACTTCTTCCCCCATTCCTCTTAGCTCTCTGTCCAATTTCAGCCTTAGTCAATCTCCACCATCAGGCGAAACACTCGTCCTGAAAGTCCAATAGAGTTTACAACTTCCCCAAATTGAGCATCGTCAACCTTGCATTTCTTGAGGTTCTACCTCATATTATCCCTCGTTCTGCGCCACTCCATCGAATCAATCGCCATGGATCCGGGCCAGGACCGCCAACCGGCCACGAACGGCTACACCAGAGGCCCCAGCACGCGCGTCAAGCCCATCGTCAACTACGAGGAGAAGCGGCCCTTGGCCGACGTGCGGGCGGACATCAAGCACGGCGCCGGCCCCAAGACGACCCTCAACGAGCTTGAGGAGCGCATCAACGACCTCGGCGAGTCATGGGAGACCGAGTCTCTCTTCGAGGACGCGCTCGAGGACCTGACTGAGGAACGTTTCTCTCCTGACGGTCAGTTTATTGCAAAAACGATCCTTGTCCTTCTGTTTTGAATTTGTTTCCCCCCCGTTCCCGCCCTCTCCTTTGTTTACGCGCCTTTCTCACCTCCTTTGCCTGTTCACTTTGTGTGCTTGGACAGATCCCTCCCTGGTTCGAAGTGCTCGGCAACTTCGTAACCCACACCCACAACCTATCTGTCATTCAATCAATATTTTTCTTTCTTTCAAAACCACATTTGTTTTGTTTTCTCAACAAGAGATAATAATGAGCTGACACTGTTTTGTAGACCCCGAGGCTTGTACGCAGGATGAGGCGGTTAAGTTCCGCCAAATGCTCCGCGCCCTCGGCCCCGAGGAGTTTTGCAGGCGGACGGTCGACTCGGGCGTCATCACGGCCAAGAAGCTCCTCACGGCCTTTGGCATCCGCCCACCAGGGTTCCTGGAGGGCCAGCCCGACGATGCCTATTTCAGCCTCCTGAGTCTGGCCCTTAGCCGTGAGCTCTCCAAGCGGGCAAAGCTTCTGAAGTACAACTCTGTCGATGACGCGGTGAGCCTGTTGAAGTCTTCCAAGAACATCATCGTCTTGACCGGCGCCGGCATTTCCACCTCTCTCGGCATCCCCGACTTCCGCTCCAAGGGCACTGGCCTCTACTCGAAGCTCGAGCATCTGGGACTCAACGACCCGCAGGAGGTGTTTGACATCACGGTCTTTAAGCAAGACCCCACCATCTTCTACACGGTGGCCAAGGACATCCTCCCATCCACCGAGCGCTACTCGCCGACCCATGCCTTCATCGCCCTCCTCCAGCAGAAGGGCAAGCTCTTGACCAACTACTCGCAGAACATCGACAACCTCGAGGCCACGGCCGGCATCAGGCCCGACAAGCTCGTGCAGTGCCACGGCTCGTTCGCGACGGCTAGCTGCGTCAAGTGCGGCTACCAGGTGCCGGGGGAGGCCATCTTCCCGGACATGAAGGCCGGCAAGATTCCCCGCTGCCGCCAGTGCGCCCTGGGCAGCCGGACGACCAACAACAGCCGCAAGCGCAAGATGGCCAAGGACGGCACCGAGAAGAAGTCGCGACGCAGGCCCGGCGACTACGACAGCAACTCGGACTCGGAGTTCGACCTGCCCACGGCGTCGTGCGGCGTCATGAAGCCCGACATCATCTTCTTCGGCGAGAGCCTGCCCGACTCCTTCTCCAAGCGCCTGACCGAGCACGACCGCGACCTCGTCGACCTCGTCATCGTCATCGGCACCAGCCTCAAGGTCGCCCCCGTCTCGGAGCTGGTGCCCTTCCTGCCCCCGCACGTGCCCCAGCTCTACATCAGCCGCACCGCCGTCGACCACGTCAACTTCGACATCGACCTGCTCGGCGACTGCGACGTCGTCGTCGCCGAGCTGTGCCGCCGCGCCGGCTGGGACCTGCGCCACGAGATGGTGCCCCGCGGCCAGGTTGTCGACGTCGGGCTCGCCGACGGGTACCCCAGCCGCCACGTCTTCACGCAGGTGAGCTCCGGTCCCGCCGCCCCGGTGGAGGCCAAGTCCCAGGCCGGCGCGATGGTCCCCGCGGCCAAGACATCGGGTCTGAGGGCCCCCGACGCCATGGTCCAGGGCGGGTTGATGTACCCGGTTGCAATGGTCCCGGTCACGATGGTCCCCGGCGCCATGTTTCCCGGCCCGATGTTTCCCGGCGCAGCGTACCCCGCCGCGATGGTCCCCGGCGGGATGTACCCCCCGGCGGCCATGATCCCCGGTGCGATGGCCCCAAAGATGAGGGATCCCGAGGAACAGAAGATCCGGAAGACGGGTAGCGTTGTTGTTCCAGAGGCGAAAGCCCCCGGCGCAAAGGCCGCGGAGAAGAGAATCCGCAAGACGAGCGCGCCCGAGGTGAAGATCCCGGGGTCGAGAGCCGCCGGGGAGACGAGGATTCGGAAGTCGAGCACCCCAGAGGCCAAGGTCCCCCCCGGCGCAAAGGCCGCGGAGACCAAGAACCAGATCACGAGTTTGCCCAAGGCGAAAGTCTGGAAGACAACAAATGTTCCCGAGGCCAAGGTCCCGAAGATGAGGGTTCCAGAGGCGAAGGTCTCTAGCAGAAAAGTCGTCGAGACGACGGTGTCCGAGGTGGAGGTCACGGAGTCGAGGATTACGGCGGCGGACTTCTGATCCTTTTCTTTGATTGAAAAGAAATAGAAGATGCCCGGCAAACGTTTGACGTCCCACCTTGATACCCCCACAACCCCTTAATTTGGCGTCTTGCCGGGCGTCCATTGTGCCATTTTAGGGATTTGCATTCTTTTCCACTATGCGCCTAGCTTTTTTGGCGCCATTCGGCGTCAAGTCTTGGAAGAGCTGTTCTTCTGAAAGGAGGGGAACTACGAGGATGAAGGGATATCATATGCCCGATACGACTCTTTGGGAGCTCTCGTCGTTGCGTTTTCGCCACACACAGGCTCGGTTCCTGACATTGCCAGGCCCGTTGTTTTGCAGGGTAAAGGAGTCTTGGTTCGGCGCCTACAGGGTCTGGTCTGTTTCCCCTATGGGGTCTGGCTTTTCTGAGCCCTCTTGTTTTAGAGTACTGTCCCGGTGGAGCCCTAAGCATGGAGCCAGGGCTTGTCTCCGTCTTATTTCTCTCATTTTCTTTCCCCATCGGCTACTCTGCTGGGAGTTTGTGGTGTTCGGATGTTCGGACCACGATCTGCTCCTTTTTCTCACGGCACGATAGATATTAGGTTACCAGCCCCAACTCTGGAGGCATATTGGTGCGGATGGTCATTTGACTCCGCCTTGCTGGAAGGGAACGTTGTGCGGCGACCGCAAATCAGTGCGGGTAGATAAACCAAGATAGGGTGGTGGCTTAGAGGTGTCCGAGTATTCAACGAGTACTGTAACTATTATTTTCCCCGTCTCCGTGATTGATCGGTCCCGGCATTTCTTAATGTGACTTCCTCATCTGTTGCAACACCCCTTCGTTGCGACACCTACCCTGTCCTGATATTTTAATATCCCTCTGCCTGACGCAGGGCAGACTACCGACTCCCGTCAAGCTCACCGTCAAAGTCGACAGTGCGCATTACCGCCGCCATCGGAGGAAAAGAGGGACTCTCCGGATCCCATGCAACTCCACCAAGTATCTCGGCCTTACGAAGAAGGTCCTTTCATCTGTGCAAGAGTCCGACTGAAAGTCCTCATTACATACATCTAGACTATATGTGCCCCTGCTTGCTGGGACACATGGGCCACAACCCCTGAAAAGGAAGTTGCTATCTAGGTACACCCCCCCCCCCCCGGCCCGATCTATCAATTACAGTAGACTCGCGTACTTATCCAACCCCGACTTCGGGGGTTGCTGCTGCTGCTGCTGCTGCCTCGAAGCCTGCTGCTGCGCCATGGACGCCATGGACGCCATTCCCCCCATATTCCGCATGCCGTTCGCACCGGCATTGCCCGCGCTGTTCATCGCCACACCCGCCATGCCCACGGACCCACCGGCCGGACGACCGAAGCCCGCCGCCAAGTTGTTCGTCGTCTGCTGGCCCTGGGACATCCCAGGGGGCGGCGCCAGGCTGAAGCCCGAGGACCCGCCCCCCGGCGGTGGCGGCGGAGGAAGCGAGAACGACGAGCCCCGCTGCTGGGCCATGGCCGGCCGCTGGTCCAGCGTCATGGACGACATGGGCGAGCTCAGCCCGCCGCCGAAAGAAGTCGTGGGGGGTGCGGCGGGCGGCGTGGGCGTAGCGGATGTCGAAGCCCAGGGATTGGCTGTGCCCGAAGATAATTTGCCCCAGCCGAGCGGAGTCGCCGCCGATGGCTGGATCGGCTGCTGAGCACTTGACGCGGGCTGAAGGGGCTGGGAGAACTGGGTGGTGGAGGGCGCAAGAGCCGCGAACTGGGCTAGATCCGGCGTCACGGTCCTGAAGCTCGGTTGTTGAGCTTTCGCTGCCCCGAGTTGGCTGGCAGCAGGTGCCGATGTTGTTGGACTTGGGGTCGACCAAGCGAAAGCTGGCGTGGTCGTAGACTTGGCAGACTTCAAGCCTGGGGATGTGATGGTGGGTGGCGAGGCCATGCCGTCCCAGCTGGCGTCCATTGGGTTCGTTGTAGTGCTAGACTTGCCTTTCACAAGCATCTCAAAGTCGTCCTGGGTGGTGCCGTTGGCATCGAAAGCGGACCCCGCGATGGCACCAAATGACATGAAGTCCTCATTGGGAAGAGCGGTTGCGCCGTTGGAATTCCCGGTCAGTTCCTGCAACTTCTTGGTCTGCTCTTCCTCGACTCTCGCAGACAGAGACTTGATGAGGCCCATGAAGGTGTGGAATTGCTTGAGGTCGAGCAACGGACCGAGACTCATGCTCCATAAGATTGGGAGAATCTCCATGGCCACAAACTCGACATCGGCTGCTTTTCCAACGATCCTGAGCACCTTCATCCCTGCTATCATAACAGCCGGCTCTTTCGTCTTGATACCCTTGACCAGAGGCACAATTTTCTCCTGCATAGTATATTTGTCCAGCGCCGACGAGGACGAGGTCTTTTTCCTCCCCTGGGTCAAGCCATCAAGGCCGTCATCGTCTGCCGCATCGTCTGATCCCCCGCAGAGGATTACAAATGCCTGCAACCCCCTGACCTTGATTGCCAGGCTATTTGTTTTACTAAATATGGCAGCGATCACAGGGAAGAGCTCGTTCTTGATGGTGCTAAAATCTAGCACTGGTAGTATGGTTGGGAGCCCCCTTAAAGCAACATCCACTAGGGAGGGGGTAGGGGATTCCAGGGCGACGAAAATCACGGGCAATATGTCTAGAAAGCGAGGTTAACGCGACGAAGCCAGGGAGATAGCATTAGGGGGTCATTACCATCTTTGAACTCCTTCCCAGAGCAATTATTAGTGATTACGGGAAGCTGCTCGAGGATTATCATGAGGCCGGCATCTCTCGCCGGGTCTCTCTCTTGTCCTTGTTTTGCATTCGTGACAAATATCTCCTTTAGAGAAGGCCTGATTCTGTCACCGAATGCCCTCTTGCCCGAAGGTAAGAGCTCGATAATCTTGAACACATTGTGCAAAATCAAAGATATGAGCTCCCTGTCCTTCATTTCGTCGAGGAGAGCCGGAAGGATTTTCTTCTCCATGACCGACTTGGGAAAGGATGGTAGAACCTTGAGCAGCCCCCTCAAGAACTGGGATTTCTCGTTTGGGGTCTTTTCAGGGAACGCATCCAAGAATCGAATCGTCGACACAAGTATGTTGTCAAAATACTCGCTCTGTTGGAACTCCTTGGTAGTCATGCGTTGGGCTGGTCGTCGCGTGATAAGCCGGGGCAAGACGTGGTGCGAGAGATCCCTCGGTAAGGTGCGAGAGCATAAGAAGCTGTTGCTTGAGCTCGGTATGGAGGATGACGATTGGAAGAGCCTTTTGTAACTAGATATGCTCGAGTTGCATGCGATGGGAGAGCGGTGGGGAGAGTTATAGAGGGCGATGCAGAGCAAACCCAGGGAGAACATGTCGGCTGAGGTGGTTAGGTTGTTGTCGAGGACGAAGTCGGGAGAGGTATAGTCGAGGTTCAGCTGGACAAAATGGGGCAGTCGAGGGTCTATATGCAGAACCTCATGCAGGCTTATGGGCTGGAAAGACGTCGGTTTTGATGAGTTCTCAGGGGGCGTGCAGAATGATAGCCCACTAAGCTTCCAGTCAGACTGCTTGGGGTCAGCTCCTGGCTCCAGTACATATGTCCAGCCAAGTCCTCTCGACTCACCTTGCCGTTGATGAGAATCGCATCCGGCGTCAAGTTGCCATGAACAAGTCCAGCATTCTCGTGGAGAAACTCCAACGCCTTGCTGACCTGCAAGAGCCCCTTTTGGACCTCCAACTCGTCAATTTCAAGCTCCCTCCTCCGCCGGGTGCCATCTGGCTCCTCGGTGACATATCGGCCGGAGCGACCGCCGACCCCTCCTGATCTCTCTTGGTCGTCCTTCTCCTGCAACAGGCTGGAGAGCGAGGCTGTCACAGCTTCGGTGACGAATTGAAGGCCGCCGCCTCTGGTGTCTTCAACCGGCTCAACGAGTTCGAGTATGCTCGGGTGCCGTAGCTTGGCCAGCGAGGATGCCTCCTTCCGGAGCCGTTCTACTACCTCCTCCGTGACCTTCTTGAATGCGGCCGCGCTTGATCGGCTCAGTCCGCTGTTATGCGCATCCAGCGACTTCTTGTCGAAGACGAAGACCGAGTAGGCCTTGCCGGTCGACTTCTTCTTGGCGTCGTAGATCTTCCATGGGCCGGCCGTCGATGTCAGCGTCTGGGAAATCGTATAATTGGAGGTGATGTTCGTCGAGGAAATCGACTTAAACGCCGAGGTGAACATGGTTCAGTGCATTAGGACGCCGCACGTCCAGTTCGCATCTCTGTCGAGCTGGCGGGGCATAGATGTCGAGGGTCGGGATCTCTCTCGCTGCTGCGTCAGATGGGTTCGGTGGCTTCGGGCTTCAAAAGGCTGGTGGTGTGATTAGATATCGAGTGATATGTCGCTTTCCGCAAGCTGTCGTTCTGCGCCGACTGGGCTCTCCCGCACAATTCCTATGGCAGCGTCGTCATCTCACTAGGTGCTACGTAATCGTGGGCCAAAAGAAATAAAAATAATCGTACCCCTTGTCGTCTGGGTCCTGCCCAATTGTTCAGCGGGCCGCCTTCCACTTGGCAAGGCTGCGTGCGAGTTTCAAGGTAATTATGTGATTGGTCGTTGGGCCTTCCCCGATACAGGAGTTTGGGGTATCTGCAGCGGGGTTATCATGCTACAGATCCAGGCCTTAAAATCAAGACCAAAACACTGCGCATTGAGCTTATCAGGAGGTTCTCCCCTAACGTTGCCCCCTATGGTGGCCCCGTCGGACTAAGCCGAGTCCAACGAAAGCCCGTTGCTTACCTGCGGGGTTGCTCCGATACAAGCCGACGAAGTTTTGTTCCGGGGGATGACAATTGCGCCCTTCCGAAGAAAACCATTTGTATATAGCAGCCCAGTTCCTCGTCACAGCGATCCACGACGGTCCTGATACTCGGGACTCACACTCCTTGATCCGCTCGCGTGTTTGTACAATCATATAGGACGCTCTTTTTTGTCAATTGGCTAGTCCGAAGGGCATCAATTCAGCCAGCATGTTACGACCACTTCTCCGGCGCTCTGGCGCCCTGAGTCCAGCATCTATGCAGGCTCCACGACTACTTCTGCGGCCATGGCAGAGCGCAAGGCAGTATAGCGTCAAGCTCGAGGCGGCGTCTGCGTCAAAACTGCGGGACATTGACCCGTTGAAGCTCCACGTTACTCAGACGACGAAGCCGGGCGCCCTACAGAAGCCCGAGGACCTGGTATTCGGCAAGACGTTCACAGGTAAGAGCGCCCCGGTGCTCCAGCAAGACTCCGGCTTCCTTCCTCCGATCCTCGCGGGTGGCTAACTCGTGCCCGCGCCTTCTAGACCACATGATCTCGATCGAATGGAACGCGACCGAAGGCTGGCTCGCGCCGCGCATCATCCCGTACCAGAACCTGTCTCTCGACCCGGCCTCGTGCGTCTTCCACTACGCCTTCGAGTGCTTCGAGGGCATGAAGGCGTACAAGGACAAGGACGGCAAGATCCGCCTGTTCCGCCCGCACAAGAACATGGAGCGCTTCAACAAGTCCGCCGCCCGCATCGCCCTGCCCACCTTCACGGGCCCGAACCTGGTCGACCTGATCGCGCAGCTCGCCAAGCTCGAGTCGCGCTTCATCCCCGACGCCCGCGGCTACTCGCTGTACCTGCGCCCCACCATGATCGGCACGCAGAAGACCCTGGGCGTCGGCGAGCCCGGCTCGGCCCTCCTGTACGTCATCGCCAGCCCCGTGGGCCCTTACTACCCGACGGGCTTCAAGGCCGTGTCCCTCGAGGCGACCGACTACGCCGTGCGGGCCTGGCCCGGCGGCGTGGGCGACAAGAAGCTCGGCGCCAACTACGCGCCCTGCATCGTGCCCCAGCGCGAGGCCATGAGCCGCGGCTTCCAGCAGAACCTGTGGCTGTTCGGCGAGGAAGAGTTCGTCACTGAGGTCGGCACCATGAACTTCTTCGTCGCCCTGGCGGACCGCGAGACGGGCCGGAAGGAGCTCGTCACCGCGCCCCTGGACGGCACCATCCTCGAGGGCGTCACCCGGGACTCGGTGCTCTCCCTGGCGCGGGAGAAGCTCGCCCCCGAGGGCTGGACCGTCTCGGAGCGCAAGTACACCATGGCGGACCTCGACGAGGCCGCGCGGGAGGGCCGCCTGATTGAGGCCTTTGGCGCCGGCACCGCGGCCATCGTGAGCCCCGTGCGGACTATCAGCTGGAGGGGGAAGCTGATCGACTGCGGCCTGCGCGAGAACGAGGAGTCCGGCGAGGTGGCCTCCAAGATGAAGGCCTGGATCGAGGCCCGGCAATACGGCGACGAGGAGCACGAGTGGAGTTACGTCTGCTAGAAGGTGCTGCTTCACGGGGAGGCTGCTCGTTTCTTTTTGTCGTTTGCCCAGCTGGCACATCGGGATGAATGAGGACTTAACTTACCCGGGTACCTATTTAGAGAGCGTCGTTGCACTTGATATGTTCTGTAATCTTTCGTTTCTAGTATCATTGGCGAATAAGCTCAATCCACAAAGACAGCCGGTTTTCCCCCGTCGTGAGGGGTCCGGTCGCGTGAAGCAATGCAAGCAAGTAACCGAGCTGCCGGTGATAATGCAATTGATTCGCAATGGCAGTAACCTTGGGGGCTGATTCCCATCATCTATCAAGCACCTTCTATCCCAGGTTTGTACTCCATTTGAGGTGTGGCCCCGTCCCCCGAGTCTGGTCAAAGGAAACATGTACATTGTGTGCGGGCGAATCCCGCTCGACCCCCCCAACCCCTTCTTCTCCTTGCTTCAAATCCAAGTCGTTCCACCCGTTACAGCTTCTTCTCGGGATCTTCCAAGATGCCCTCAGCTTCTAGTCTCCTCCTGGCCTCTTCCAGAGCCCATGTTTGTATCCTGCAGCGGGAGATGGTGGTTAGTCATGTCTCAAACTAAATTGCCTCACAGCAATCCTTCAAAGGCCCCGAAGAACAAGGGTTCAATAGAAATAGACAAGAAAAATGAAATCGAGGGGGCTGCCTCACGATGTATCCGGCTTGAAGGCATAGGCGATGGTGAAGACGACGAGGCTACCGCAGAAGCCGTAGAAGAACATGTTCTCCCAGCCCTCCTTCTGGTACTTCTCGCCGGGCTTGACGCCGAACAGCCACCCCGTCGGCGGGTCGTACTGCGAGCCGTGCGAGGCCGCCCTGCTCTGCATCTGCGTCTGCGTCGTCGTCGTCGTCGGCAGGTGTCTCCGCGGCGCGGCGGCGACGAGTGCCGATGTCGCCCCCGGCTGCTGCATGACGGCGGCGCGGGCGGCGCGCACCGCTGCGGCGCTCGGGCGGATCATTGGCATCGTTGCGCGATGTCTGTCCCGACCGGTAGGTGTCTGGTGGTTTGAGGCCGGGCAATTGAGTCCGGGCGAGGCGGCGGTGAGGCTCGGTTGTATTGAGTAGAGTGGAGATGGCTCGAAGGGCTTTTGGATTCTGATGATGTTGGCAGTTGGCACGCCCCTCCCCGTTCCGGAGGATGTCGGGAAAATCGAATCCGGACCCGAGATCACGTGACCATATGTTCCCCAATAGGTACCAGGTGCCTACGCTGTAACCAGGTAGTTTATTTTGGTTCAGCCGTAGAGGTACATACATCCACATGTGAAGTTCGAGAAGAGCCGCCATAAGTCCGAGAGAATTAATTGTTATGGCCAAGCTACCGAATCCTATGTGGCTATGGTTCATGAAAAACACTGCTACTTGGAGCTTCATCGTCGCCGAATACTGGCCAAAAAAAATCCCCTCGAGAAATAATAGCATACCCCGGGCAACATAAAGCAAACTAGAATAAGAAACCATAGCACGATATTTCAAGGCCTCGCCACCAACTCCCCCCCCTCCTTTTCTTGGGGACGCCCGCAATTCGAATCGCCTCAGATGTAGTACATGCTATTCTCCAGCCTTTCGTGGACCTTGCGGTTCATGACGGTCTGGCGCCTATTTCCGGCCGAGGAGTTAGATGCGGTATCGGACATGTCGTCGAACAACTCGTTCTTGTGTACGCGGGACCGCGTACACACAAGGTCGACATACTACGCAGGCGGGCAAATGCTGACGGCCTTGGTTGCGCGCCCGAAGAGGTAGCACATGTCGTGGGTGAACTTCTCCAGTGCGTTGGCAGCCTCGGCGCGGTACTCGGCGCGGAAGATCTCGTCGAGGACGACCGTGTAATGCGCCGGTCGGGCAGTGCCTGGGTGTTTCGTGAGTAAGGAGCGAACCCGACAGGGAAGGGGGCCGGCGGGGAAGGAGCGGGTAAATAGGAAGATTGGCCGAGCGCCCTTGCTTACCCTTCAGCGAGGCATGAGACTGCAAGAAGAAGTCCCAGTAGCGAACATTCGTGACCCCGCGGTCAACTACAGTGCCCTCCTTGGGACTCTTCGACTTCTCGTGCATGTGATTGGGGTCGGTGGGATAGAACCGAGTCTGATGTCTCTTCACCGACACGATCAGAGAGATGCGCGGCTGCGATGAGCGGTACATCAGCTCGCAGGCCTGCCGAATGTGCGGCAGCTCCTGCTCTAGAACGGTGCGGAACTGGCCCTCGGACACGCCATCGCGGAATATGACAATGTCCTATGGAAGGGATCCATTATTCCTATCCTGCCACAGCCTGAGGCGCGATTGAAAGTTAGCATTCAGCTCGCTGCCGAGCATCTCGACGCCTCCGGGGTTGTTCCAGGCAATGGCAGGCCACTGTTCCAGATTCTTGTCGACGCTTGAAACAATGCCGACCATGCTGGGGAGCGCTTCGTTCGCGCCCGCGCCCGCGGGCAGATTCGTAGGGTGGGTGACATCGTAGCCCACAACCATGGTCTTGCCCGACTTGATTAGGCCGCTCTCATCCCTGAGCAGGTGATTAACACCACCGAACTTGAGATTCACCTTGAGGCCGACGTTTGCAAAGTATCCGAGCTGGCCATTAGACGCCAGGACCTTCTCCTCGACGACACAGACCGTATGGATTCCGAAATCGACGTCTGCCAACTTCTTGACAATGTTGTACTAGCGTGTGTCCTTCTTAGGCAGGACGACGAGCATGAACTGCGGCTGTTTCTCGGTCAGGGTCATGAAGGCCGCACGCATCTCTTGTTCGCCTTAGAAGACGGCGGCAACGTCGTTGGCTGGGTTCGGCTTGGGGTTCATATTTATGCCCATGTTGTCCCTCATGAAAGTGACAAATTTATCGACAGTCTGCCTGATCAAACTAGGTCCGTTCTTGCTGCCTCTATCGTAGATGAAAGTCCACCTGTTGATGGGAGTTCCGGCCTTGGCAACTTTGACCTTCTTCATGAGCCAGGAACCAGCTTGGGGGGTGATAGCTTGATGGGGCTTGTTATAGACAACCAATGGGGGCGTGAGCTCACGCGCCATGACCGTGACGAGCTGCTTGGCGACAGAAATGCCAAAGGAAGACTGGGTAGGCTGTCGTTAGATACGACTTCCTTTTGCGTTTCGACAGGTCAGGGAGGAGGGGCAACAAGGCTAACCAGGAGTATGTTGTTATCGAAACTCAGCAACGCCCGTGCAGACGTGGTGATTGACTTCGCATTACTGGGGGGAGACCGGCATGCGAAGTTGATCATGGAGTCTGCTTCGTGAGCAGATAGCTTCACCTTCATCGGCTGTCCCGGCACGATGACACACAATTCAGCTGGGATATGTACCGGCTTGGCAGATGACCCAATGTTGACGAGGGGCAGGGATGAGTTCGGGGTGTACTTGTATCCTAGGGGGTTGTGATTAGTGGGAAGAGAGAGTCACAGTAGGGGTGGTGCTTACTGGTTTGATAGTACTTGTCGACAGTGCAGTACTGGTTATATTCCAAGCCGCTCACGCGTTGTTGGCCAGGTGATGGCTCGTTCAAGTAGAAACTGACCGTTTTCGGACCTCCGAAGTCGCCGGCTGAAAATTGTGGCCTGTTCTCGGCCGGGCCGTCCCTCGAGCTTTCAAGGCCCCAGAGAACCCTCTCCCTGACTTCGGCCTTCTCGCCTTGCGGCGAAAGGAACTGACATTCGACGCGAGCACGCTTGAGGAGCTTGTGGACCTTTCTCAACTCGCGAATGACGTCCGGCCGCTGTCCCTGATCTTTCATTTTGTCCAGTTTCAGGTTCTTAAACAGGACCGCAAGGGGCAAGGGATTGCGGAAGACTCCGTGGGTGACGTTGGTGTTCAGCAAGAGTCTCCCAGTAGCCGGGCGGACGCTCTGGAAGTAGCCTCGAAGAATGGAAAGGGCACTGTCATTACGCATAAATCCAGACTCGGCCCGGTCATCATCCAAGGCGAAAAAAACGGCCTCGTCCAATGGCCACTGCATTTTGATCAGCCCGGGCTGTGTGCCCGAGGACTATGCCAAGGGCGTCAACCTCATCAGGGAACTTGGGGAAGTTGGCGTCTCCAGCAGGATCCCTCATGTCGGCCAGATATTCCATCAAACGGTCAACATGGATTGGGGTTGGGCCACTGAACCTCACTTTCCATGCTTCTCTTCTGTCCCGGCCAGGTTCAGTGTACTCGACCTGGATAACAGAGTCGCTGGGGAGGACCAGATTCTTCAGGGAGATGACTTGGGCTTTGTATTCGGTAGCGAAAGTAGAATCTGCCGGCAGCTTAGATAGAGCCAGCCGAATGATGCGCTGCAGCTTCCGTCCTTTGGCCTCTTTGGCCTTCTCGGCCCCCTTAGGGCCTTTTCCTGCCTTGGTTGGCTTGGCATCTTTACCCTCTTCCTCAGCCGGTTTATGAGAAACCTCAATGGCATACTTGAACAAGGTCTGGAGCTTGACGTCAAGCCTGAAGTAGTTTGCCCAGAGGGTGACCCTTTGCCCAGCAGCGCCAAAGGCAGGGCGATAGGGAAAGAAGTCGGTGGAGGTCTGGCTGGTGACCGAGAGCTTGCTTATTTGCCCGGTGAGCTGGGCAAGTTCGGCGCTCTGGTCACGGACGAAGTCGTCCTCCAGTTCAGCAACCTGTGGATCAGGCTGAGGGATTTGCGTGTTCGCCCTGTTTACCTTGTCAACCACTGCGTGATATGTAAGCATAGTCTGGCAAGCAGGACTGACCCATGAACGGCATCTTCGCGCTCTCTTGGACCCTGGAATCCGCCACCACCATGGCCACCACCACCATGGCCACCACCATGGCCACCACCACCATGGCTACCACCATGGCCACCACCATGGCCGCCACCACGGGAGTCTCCTCTAAAGTCTCCTCGGCCACCGTGGAAGCTTCCCTGGCCACCCCGGCCGCCCTGGTGTCCGCCAACGCCTTGCTGGCCACCACGGCCTCCAGTACCACCTCCTCCACCGCCCCGTCCACCCCGTTGGCCCCGTCCACCTGTTGGTCCCCTCCACGACCTCTACCCCCTCTCCCCCCTCTCCCTCCCCTACCAGCCGGCCTTGGTTGTCGGCCATGGACTTGACTGGCGGGGATAGCTGAGAGTTAAAATAGGATCAAGCGGAACCGCAAGAAATGGGTGTCGCTGGGCAAGAATCGAATTCTATGGTCGTTGTGCAGGAATATGGGGCAGGGCACCAGATAGTGGGTGGTCGGATACTGTTGTTGTCCTAGGGACGTCGAGCGTGTATCAATCAGCTCCACGGGTTTGGATGGCAGAAAGTGAGGAAGAAGGTGGGAAACATATGAGGTCAGGCGAAGTGGTGCACTAATGAATCTACCCTGGTAGTCCTAGCAAGGAATGCCAGAGAGACTCCTGCACCTTCCATACCTATGAAAATGCAATGGCTACTTTGTGTGATGTTGTTGGTGGGGGAGGAGTGAAGCAAGAGCGTATCAGCACCATCACAAACTTACCTTACCTAGGTACCTACCCAAGACCTGCCCATCATTGTTATATCTAGGTACTGCTAATGCGCTACGTACCTGTTTAAGGAAGCCAAGGGGAAGCTTCCCAGTTTGCCACCCATCGCAAGAACAATCAATTCAACGGGAAAGTCCATTCTACTTTTTAGAGTGCTGTACAAATGTGTGGAAGGCTGTCATATCACTCCACAGCTGGCTGGCTGGCAATGGAAGGTCCGCATACGGGCCATGGGAGCCTCGGGAGGCCCACCATGGAGGCCCCTACGGCCTACTCCAATCGTCCCAACCCGTCGTCCCGTTCCAGGGCCTTGGAGTGACATGGGGGGCCCTGTCATCAGTATGGAAATGTTCATCTACATGACACATCCCGTAGTCTGTAGTGTGTAGGAGGTACCTACCTACCTGCCTCTACCACCTACCTGAGCTTATGCAGGTTTATTTAGTCATGGGATAACCATGGCAAAGAAGCCAGCCTGGGGCTGGCATGGTCCCTTACATACTACACCGCCTATCAAGGATTACTTCTGTTGAGACCACGGAATAGTGCGGAGTAAGCAGGGCTGAAGATAAGACCTGGGAGGGAGTGCTGGGCATCAGGCGGTCTGCCTGGGCAATGCCGACTTCCATTGCCATTGGTCAGATGTACAGTACTTACCTCTGACTAGAAACATGTTCGAGCCTGCCCGCCTTTGGTGTCAAATGATTGAGGAAGGAGGCCTGCTAAATTGACTGGTTGTGTCCTTGAACTCCGAGTCAGGTCTGAGGCTAGAGGTAGGTCCTGCCATACCATGTTGCTTCCAATTGCAAAGAATTCATCTGCAGGGTAGGTACCTAGGTAGATGCGCTCCCGCGTACTATGTAATTTACGTATGTGTGGTATCCCAGCACGACGGGACCCAGGTACCGGGTAGCTCCAAATTTAGGTACCTGCACTGGGAAAATCCGATTTTGTCTGGACCAACCTTCGTCCTCACAGTCAGCCACAACATCCCGCCGGCTGATATCCAGCAGTTCTGGTTCGAATATGTTGGCAATTCGGTAAAAAAGGCCACAACTTTGGAGCTTTCAACGAGCAGGCTTCCTGATTATGGCTGCGTGGGTGGTAAGGGCTGGCCCGCGATGGCTTCGAACAAGTCGCCATCAGACCACTCTTGGGCAAGGGGCAGGGGCAGGGGCAATCACATCAGGGACGAGGCAAGCATTGCGCTGCTCAGCACCGTTCCCGAGGGCGAACGCCTCTTCTCAGGCAAAGCCGAGGGCATCCCGGAATCTCAAACCAGCACCAGCAACCCCCAAGGCAGAACCAGGGAAACGAAACCCTGCCTTGCAGACCTCCCCGCCACCCTCGCAAAATAGCCAGGGGACAGCCCCGATTGATGCCATCTTCCAACAGCGCAAACTGCCCCTAGTAGGCGCAGGCTTTGCCGCCTTGTGCCTCGGGCTCTACGTCAGCCTGCTCGTCTCGTCATACATGAAGTCCCCGGCACCTAGCTGTACATGTGAGCACCCGTCAACGGCAGGCGCCGATGGCGAGCCCCTGCCGCCGACGGGACGCCCGCCGGCCGTCGATGCAGCAATGCCGGGTCGGGAAAGAGCTCGCCAGTCCGCCTCGGCCTTCGACAAGGGCCTGGACGTGCCGGAGTGGCTGATGGGCATCACGGGTCTGCGAAAGCGACTCGCTGCCGGCGCGAGGGGCCATGTGCTGGAGGTGGCGGTGGGTACGGGGCGCAATCTGGCGTACTACGACTGGGCCGAGGTGGTGGCCGCGACCGAGGAGCCCGCTCTGCAGGGCACGGAGAAGCCGAAGTCGTCGCCGGCCAGTCCGGAGGGCGGGGTGCTCAGCTTCACGGGCGTCGACATCTCTGCGGACATGATGAGCGTCGCGCGCACGAGAATCCGAGACGCGGTACCTGTCCTGAAGAAGTTGATGAGGCGGCGTCGTGTCGAGCCCATGCCGGAGGCCGGGGGTACGGTTGTGGATATCCTCGACAGCCGCATTCGGCTGTGCATCTCGGATGCGGAGCAGGCACTGCCCGCGCCGCCCGTTGTGAATGCAGGCAAGACGGGTGCGAAGCCCGCAAGCAAGTACGACACTGTACTCCAGACTTTTGGACTGTGCAGTGTCTCCGATCCTGCAAAGCTTCTGTCTAAGATGGCATCCATGGTCCAGCCAGGGTCCGGACGCATTGTCCTATTAGAGCACGGCCGGGGGTGGTACGATTGGGTCAATGGTCTGCTCGACGAATACGCTGATCCGCACTTCAAACGGTATGGGTGCTGGTGGAATCGGGACATCGAAAACATCGTCCGCAAGGCGGCGCAGAAAGTGCCAGGGCTCGAGGTGGTGAATATCGAGCGGCCGCTGTTCATGCAGATGGGAACCACCCTCGTGATTGAGCTACGAGTGAAGTCGACTGGGGAGGAAGATGCCACGATTACTGGGACACCAAATACGGCGCCTTAGAGGGTCATAATCTACCTTACTGTATGTTATGTGCATGTATGTATATTTTTCATACTTGTATATCGAGAAGTGAGACCCGTGGGTATCACCGCGGTCCTCTCGTCGCCAAGGCAATGAATGCTTCATATGTTCATTCAAAATCTGTGATTCCGTGCTGGCTATCTTAGGCTTCGCCTGTGATTGAATGTCATAACAGTTGTGTATATACGGATGTATTAGGGACCTACCTCCAAATTATACCGCGATGCACCAAATTGCCCCACTTCTGGCACCCCCCCTTAACATCCATTAGAATGGACGGAAATGGATGCTTCCAAGTTTCAATATCCCATCGCCCTTCTACCCGGTTCTGGATTCTTGCTTTTCTTCTCTCCCTCACGACTCAAAGTGCTTGCAGCAAGGCATTAAAAACAGCGCCCAACAGCGGTTTTTCCCTTGGGTTCACATCTATGGCTCCCTCTCCCCTTTTCTTAACTAGCCATCCGCTATCGTCCTGCAAGCTTCGGAAGACGTGACTGGATGACGAAGCTAGCTTCCTGATCACGAGGGTTGCCTGGCAAATGACTTGAGCTCCGGCCGCCGCCCAGGAACACTGATCCATCTTGTCGACCGAATTACAAGCATCCATAGCATCTGGCTTGTGTGCTGGACATCCTAGCCGCCTCACCAGTAAAGATCCGTGCGGTTTCCCATCTCAGGTACACCAACGGAAATGCCTACAGCCACTTAGCTTGAGCAGCGTTGGACCTGGCCGCTACAACCACCCCCACAACCCTGGTGGTCGGACTCTGACCGTTTGTTCGCCTGCCTGGGCCACCTGACGGCAACCACACCTCAACCAACTCCGCATTCCCATCGACTTCATCTTCTGCACTGGGCTTCTTCCCCTCCTTCGAAACTGCCTTGCCACCCTTGCCACTTGGTAATGTTCCTCGCCTGAGCCACAGCCCCCGGTACAACAATGGATGCAAAGGTCCGCTGGCCCCGAGAGCACCCTCCCGCCTAAGATCAGGAACGCCCTGCCCATCGTTCATCGGCATCGCTGCACTTCACACGCTATTCACCGATTCCTCTCCTGCCGGAAGGCTCGAAGCCGATGCGGGCTGCCCCGGTTTCTTTGCAGTAACCGCCGACATGCATCAACAATCTCGACATCCTCCCCGGCTGTCCTCCCCCGCTTCCTCTCCACAAACAAATCCCACACGAACAAACAACCCAAGAGAAGCTATCAATGCCTCGACTAGGGCACGATCGGCCTCCGAAGCTGCTCCCCATGAAGGGGCAGCTATGACAGACAGCGGCGAGGCTGTGGGCGGAGGTCCTAGCAAGGAGGCCGTTAAGAAGTTGGACCAGATCATTCAGGTACTTACGCAAACCTCGCATCCCGCCTGCCTGCTACTTACGCTGACGGTTCCCAGAATTTCTACTATAAAGCTGCAGTGCTCATATTACAGTCCCGAATGATATCGACCTCGTCGAGCGGGAAGGGCCCGGAAGGCAGGAAGACAAACAAATGGGTAAGTGCGCCAACGTGGGAGGGCAGGCCGAGCGTACCCGGATGAGTGAGCGCTGATGGTCGAGCTAGTTCCAAATCGAGACAGAGGACATGGACGACTTCCGACAAGAACTCAAAGTCTGGAAGTCTGCGTCGAGCGCCGACAGCCACCCACAGCCCATGATCATTGAGACGTACCTTGACGCATCCCGGCTCTCCAACAGCCAGAGCCTGGTCATTGTGGATGACAACGGGAAGACATGGGATGCGCTGGAGGCATTGAACTCGTCCGAGTCGTCAACGGATGGGAGCAGCCCGGGGAGAATACAGAGGAATGATGCCGAGGTTGTCCTGGAACGGTGGCGCGTTGAACTCAAGCCCATTCCGGCGGACGGCCCGGAAGACTTCGGCCCAACGCTTCCTACCATATACAAGCGAAGCATAGTCTTCTTCAGGTCGCTGTACTCTGCCACCCGGATCCTGCCTTGCTGGAGGCACTCGCGACAACAGGCCACGGCAAAGGGTCTGCATCCGGCGCTAAAAGTGAAGTGCCGGTTCTTGATGGGCGACCCAGACTTTGGCGACCGTGATCCCCTGCGTCAGCCTCTCTACGATAGCGGGAAGGTCGTGAGTGAGTACATGATTGGAGACCTGGAGGTCCCCGTGGGGCGCTTTTACACCTCGGTCACGTATCGCAAAGATTGCAACTTCAGGGTGGAGGATTCCGAGTCATTACTGTCCTCCCGGTTTATGGGTGTTGATGAGAATTCCTTCAAGCCGTCAATTCCACAGCGTGGTGAGCATAGAAGAAGAGGTTCATACGCAGAGCTCGCCTCCCTGCCGTCCCATAGGCTTGGCGGCGGCCCACGGGAGCCGCAGCAGACATACGGCAGCCTGTCAACCTTTCACGGCGACGGGGCCCTCGGAACCAGTCCCATATCAGCATTACGAGCTGTGCGGCCGATAGGATCGGATACCAGTTCCCCTCCTGGCTCCGTCCCCGCGAGCGTCGAGCCGGACCCGCCACATTCCTTACCGATCCGGCCTCAGTCGTCCGCAAACCGGCCTTCTTTCCGCAACTTTGAGGGAACGGGGAGGCGGCCATCCGTTTCGTTCCAGCCATTCAAGGCCGGTTCCCTGTCTGGGTCGCCAAGGATAAACGACGGGGAACCTCCCCCTATTTCTCCCCACTCGCTGAACCGTGGATCTCTTGGCGGTATCTCTCAAGCGAGGAACAACCGCTCGTCACTGACTGCGGGCATGGCCGCCTCCCTGCGCGGCGGACCGCCTCCTGCGGCCGTAGACTCTCCCGTTGTCGGGTCTCCCAAGCCCGGCACGAGTCGTTACAGCAGCAGCTTTACCCACCGACGTGGACGTCTGTCGTTCGGTGGTCAGAGTAAGGCTACCGACGACGATCAGGTCAGTAGCGGGAAGCAGAGCCTTTCGTCGTCCGCCCAACCGGGCTCAGGTCTCCTCGCCGAGGCTGGAGGGGCGAGCTCAGGGTCATTACACACCGATGATGACAACATTTCCGACTTCCTCAAAGCGCTGGATAGTAGGAAAACGTTGCAGAGCTTTGAGCCCAATAAGAAAGGCGAGTCGTCTGCGGCCAAGAGGACTGCTGCACAGCTCTCAAAATTCCATCTAATGCGGGAATCGCATAACGCGTTGACCGAATCAATGACATCCTCCATGCACTTGCACCGCTCGTCGAGTTCTTCGAGTCGCCAGCTTGCGAATGTACCGAGCATGGTAAATCCGGCCTCAATGTCAGCCTCCTCATCTCCCAGCAAGCCGCTCTCTCCCCACACACCATACACCCCGGCGATACCTTCGCGCCTAAGCGAGAATTCAATCGTCGTCAACCCGCGTAGCTACGCACATGAAGGCCGCCGGCCGACTCAGAACCCCGAGATTGCCGCGACCGAGGTCGAGATTCCGGACGATGCGCCAATGAGCCAGGAAGGCACCACCGCAATCGACATTCCGCTCTCACCCCGCCTCTTGCATACGGGGGGGAATAACCGACGTGCGAGCTCGGTGGCGCACCAGCAACGAGCATCCGAGGAAGAGGACGCCGACCTCGTCCAGCGGAGCATCAGCCTCGGAGGCGAGGACCGAGAAGCACCGACGCTCAGCACCCTCCTCGCGCTACAGCGGGCGTCTGGCAGCAACTCGGGCGGCTCTCCCAGCCTGCAGCCGGCGGCCGACATACGGGCCTCGGGCCCATCGTCGCCGCCCGCCGACCGGGAGCAGAAGGCGGCGTCCCCTGGCGGCCTACGGCTGCGCTACGCCGGCCTGGGGCGGCCCACCCCGCCGCACTCGTCCAGGGGGAGCTTCTCCGGCGGTCGGTACGGCGGGAGCTCGGTTCGCGGGGCCGGCGAGGACGGCGCCGACGACGAGCCGCTCGTCTTCGCCATGTCGGAGCTGGAGCGGGACTCGCGGCGCAGCCTGGAGGAGGGACGGGGTGGCCTGGGCCAGCGGCCCGGTAGCGCGGAGCGGGGAGGGTTCGAGCCGAGGGGGGCCTCGAGGCGGGGTTGGTGAGGCTGATGTAGTATGACCCCCGAGCCGCGGCCACCAACTATGTATTTGGGCCCAGGCGAGCGCCGCCACGTATGTTTGGAGGTGATATTCTTTGGGGTGTTTCTCTTCTGAACGTAAGAGACGCCGTCGTTTATTTTTTTCAGGCGTCATTTGTATCTAGGTATATCTTACAGCAATGCTTCAGAGGCGAAACGCTAGGGTGATGGTTTTTTGTCGCCGGAGGCAGAAAGATTGGGCAGGGAACTGTTGGATAGGAGGCAAAGGGCGGTTGGTAATCTGGTGTTTAGATATCTTTATAACCCATCATCAACACCGGGCATGTGTTGGGGCACATGAGATCCGGTGGTTTGAATTTGACAAAAATGAAGCCGAAGGGAAGGGTTGATGGTTGGTATACAGTTAGTTTTATCGTGCCGTGATGCGTCGTTGTTGGTCGTAATGGGCAAAAATGATGATGCTATATCTAACTGCCACGATGGGTCTACTATCTATCCTACAGATAGGATCTCGAAATACTCCATCCTTCTTTCCCCTACTACCACCGCTTCTCCCCCCAAACCACCTCAGCCTCATTCTACACCCTCCGTCTCGTCGCAAACCTACAACTTGCTTTGCGACGACAGGGCAGCCATGCCGAGCTTTTCCCTCAGGGTGTCCTCGGCCTCGCGCTCTATCCTCTCAATCAGGACCTTGCAGGTGGGGATGTCGTGGATGAGGCCGATGACCTGGCCGGCGGTCCAGACGCCGTACTCGGGGTCCCCGTTGAGGAAGACCTGCCTGCCGCGCTTCCCGCTGACGAAGGGGGCGACCTCTGCGAACTCGCCCGTGGTGCTCTCGCGCTCGACGCGGAGGGCCTCCTCGGTCACGCGGTTGCGGAACAGGCGCGTCGTGTTGCGCCAGCGCCGCAGCACCAGGGCCGTGTCGGTCTCCTGCGCCCGCACGATGGTCTCCTTGATGGCCTGGTGCACGGGCGCCTCGACGGTGCACAGGAACCGCGTGCCCATGTTGATGCCACACGCGCCCAGGCACAGCGCCGCCGCGAGGCCCTGCCCGTCGGCGAAGCCGCCCGAGGCGATGAAGGGGATCTTGAGCGTCTGCCGGGCCCGGGAGAGGAGGATGAAGTTGGTGATGTCGGATTCGCCGACGTGACTGGGCGGGTTAGTTTCCTAGCTGTTGTTTCCCCTCCTTTCCGGTATAGAACTTGTAAAGGAGAGCGAGAAGGGGTGAGAGAGGGAAAGGGAGAGGGGATGGGAATGTATGACAACATCCTAAAAAGGGGGTGTGTGGGAGAGATGCAGGGCGCGAGGAGCAAGGGGCCGACCTACCCGGCGCACTCAAAGCCGTCGATGCTGAGGAAATCGACCCCCAACTTGACGGCGCTCAGGGCGTGCCTGATGGCGGTGCACTTGTGCAGGATGATGCAGCCTGCCTTCTTCAGCTTAGAAATCACTGGGCCGGGGGAGTTGCCGGCGGTTTCGACGATCTTGATGCCCTCATCGATGACGACCTGGGCGTAAGCCTCGTAGTCGGGCGGAACCAATGCCGGGAGCAGGGTGATGTTGACGGCGAATGGCCTGCTGGTCATCTTCCTGCACCGGCGAATCTCCTGTCGCAGACCCTCGGGCTCAGGCCAGATCAGGGCCGTAAGGATGCCCAACCCGCCCGCGTTGGACACAGCACTTGCCAGCTCTGCGTACCCCACATGCTAGAGATACGGGGGCGCACAACAGCGCGAAATGTCAGCCCAGCCCACCCGGTCGGGAACCCCCTTTTTGATGTTGAGGAACTCGGGAAACTCATTCAGGATGGACGTCTTAAGACATACTTGCATGCCACCCTGCACGATGGGGACTTTGGGCAGGAGAAACGAGGCGGATGTCAGCCCAACGCTCCCGAGCCCGGTGATTCGCTATCAACTTACCTGTGATACCGAGCCGGCGCGTCAACTCTGTATTGAACCCCATGTTGACCGGCCGAAACGTTACGGAAATACGGGAAATGTGAGACGGGTCGGAAAGAATGGGAGGAAACCTGGAGAATTGGGAGAGAGAGAAGATACAGAGAGAATAACAAATATACCCCGGGTCAGGTTGACTCGCAACGGCTTGTGTTCCCAGCAGTATTCATCAACCCAAAATATGCCGAGGTAACTTGTGGATTAAGGTATCAGCTGCTGCCCACATTTGGCCCGCCTCCTTGGTGGGGTCAGGGATCTGGAGCTGACTCGCCCTGCGGGGGGGGCTGAAGTTTTCCAGACGCGGACAGAGATGCTAATGATTCATCTCAGACTACACTACTATAGCAATGTATGTGAAAAGCTCATAAGCAGCTCGACCGCCAGCATTTTCTTTGTAGCTGCCGGAATTACTCGAATTACTCAAGCTTGTTTGGACCCTGCTTGAAATGCGGCCTACACGAGAAATATTCCCAATGGGCGATCTTACGAGTGGCTTAGAAGACATCCAGCCGGGGACCGAGGACACCAATCACCGACTGAGGGAGGCTCTTACCTACTTCATGCTGTGAAATGGTGGCGTGGGATGCCTGACATCCAACATCAGTTGACATCGCCAGGGACCAGTGGCCAGAGACCAGAGGCCGGTGGAAGATCTCCCGTCTCATCCCGCGAACATGGGGAGGAGACTACGAAGTAGGGAAGAAGCAGCATCAAAATCGCGCACTGCCTGCGCGGGGGCCCTTCTCGCCTCTCCCTAGACCGAATCCAGGTGTCAGACGCCTATCATTGTGTGCAGGGCTGCTGGCTGGAGGCGGCGTGTGGCAGCACAACGTCTAACGAACGGGCAGGCAACGAACCACCGCTTGGCGAAATCCAACAGACCGGACGGGTTTCAGCAGGTATGGCCAGGGGAAAGAGGGAAAGGACCATCAGGTTCTCATGATTTCGACCTATCGATCATATCCCGGCTCATGGGACACCCACTCGTTTCGGTCAACCTGGACAAGGCCTGGCTACTGCGGCACTTTGCCGACGCGTGAGGGCCTAACGGACCAACGAGGTGGCGAGGCGAGAATGCAATCTCTGGTTCTCATCGGTTTGGGGCGCTCGCCAAGTGGCGTCTGGCGATGCTCGAGTACCTCCTAAGGTAGGTTGCTACCTAGGTACCCTGTGTGAAGTCACTCGGGAATTTGCCTGGAGAGGCGTGGATGGCTGGGCGTGACACCGGCAGCCTGCATCGGCCAATTTTTTCATCTGCATTGAAACCGATCACCGCAGCTGTCAGTTGTGCTTTTGCAAAACTTTTGGATATGAGCGTTAGGCGGCACCTTCGCCTTGCCTTACCATCTCCGCGGTGCTTTTTTACTTCCGCAGTAGGCCGAGAGTTGCTGGGTCTGTCATTCGGCTTATCACACCTTTTTCTTTCTTTTTTTCCTTTGTCTTTGCGCTACATTTGTTTTTATGCTGTCATTTGGTTAGTTGGTTTTCTGCAATCGTATCATATGACTAGTCACATCAACATATTGAGGATGGATGATGGATGGATGATGGGGGTGTGGGAGAGGGGCAATCTGTTGCTGATCGTCCATCCGCCTCTGGAGGCTCGCTCGCTAGCTTGGTTGGAGAGTGAGCATCAAGGGTCCCGGCAACAGCTTGACACAGGGCTGAACGGGAGAAAAGAGACGCGGTGCCTAACCGCCTGGTGTCCAATCGCCTCCACGAATTAACTAGGAAATACTGTGGTTGTGGGATAGAGATTGAGTGGATTCTTATTGCCAGACGACGGAAGTCAAAACCTCCAAAGCCTTATTAGGTTGGTGAGATCTCACTGGGCGTCCTTGGGAAGGAGCCAAAAAGGCTTTCTTGTTTCCCACATTGCGGGATCCAGGGTACCCTGCTTGCCCTCCCTTAAGAGATGGAAGACGACCCGCGTCCCGCCAGCCACTGCAGGACCTAGCGTCGAGATTTTTCATGGTTGCATGGCTTGAGTCTTGCAGTCCCGAACGGCTATCCTTTGGATTGCTGTGGAGATTTGGGCACCCCTCGCCGTAACCGGGTTGCAAGGAGAAGAGCGGCTACATAACGACTAATTAGACGGCTAACGGAGCCACAAGGGCAAGCTCATGTTGACACGTTTTGCCAATTTACCAGGAAGGGGGACTAGGGTAGACTTTGGGGGGCTCTGACGACTGCCTGCCTCTCTCTACCCTTGTCCTTCTGAACGGGTGTTGCTCACTGGAGCGATTGGCGATCGAAACCTGCCATCTTCCGCGCGTTTTGACGCCTAATGAATGCCCATTCTTCAATGCGAAACATGCATTCATTGCATGCAAGCATGATATCGCAGAGCGCGCACCGAGGATGCGGATCATGAGAAATACTGCATAGTAGATGGGGGAGGCATTGGCTACACGCTAACGGTGCCTTACAGGAGTGGTGGTTCGAGGATGGTACTACACCGCCAGACCAGTTTGCGAGACGGTTGGAAATTGGAGAGGGGAATGGAGGACGGTGGAGGCCAAGGAGAAACCCGAAAATTGCATCATATGATCAGAAGAAAAAGTAAAGAGCGAAAACGAACATTTGAGGCCAACTTGGTTATCGCCGTGGTGTCATTGCAGGGGAAAACCACGGGGTGAGAAGACAAAAAAGCAAGCATGAGCAATCTGATATGGATGCCAAGACTGCGAATACCCACCTGGGCAAGGGCTGTACGACTCTAGCTCCTTTTAGCTAGAGGTACTCCGTACTCCGGCAGAGTACTGTGGGTATGCAGTAGTACATTGAGCTAACTGCCCGCCGATTTCCAATTCCCTCACGCGAAGCATCCAGGACTCGGGACTGGCACAGTGACTGGCTGCTTTTCGCGCAAAGACCGTAAGCCGTCAGAATAATGGTTTGAACAAAACCAAAAAAAGAAAAAAAGAAAAAAAAAAGGAAGGAAAGCGGCGGATTCTAGCAGATCCGATTCCCGTCTCGAACCAATTGAATCGACTTTCGGGTAATACTAAGTCGTGTCGGACCCTTGAGTCGATCTCCCCAACGACATCACAGGTTTCAGTTCAGCTACTAAGAGACACCGGGTATTCGTGCGTAGTCTAGGTCAATGCGATGCCAGGATAGGACCGTCGTGGCCATCCATAGGCTCCACGACTGCGAACCGCGCTCACGTTCCGCCGCTTATTAGGTTGGTAACCAGGTATTCAGGTGAAGAAGCTCCATCTTTGGCAGCGTTGGGTGCCCAGTCACAGACAGACCCAGAGACCCATGTCTCGCTCTTCCCTGTCCCTTTTTGCATGAGGTCAGTACCTATACCTACCTTCCTAGGCGCTCCCCCACATTTGCTTTTCCCAATCCCCACCATGGTTGATGTACTAGGTATGTATGTAGGTCCCTCCCGCGGCCGCTTGGAGTTCTGCAGTACATGATCACGCCCGCGCTACCTCTCTACGGATGCCCTCAACGAGGCCGTGACATCTTTCGGGCCGCATGTAGTGTGTACATAGATGGGAAGTGCCAGGACAGGGATCCCAAGGACAGTTCAGAAATGCGATAGAGACAGGCAGAGAGCGAGCACCAGGCTGGACTACGGATCCGTAGAAAAAGTAAAGCCAGCCCAAAAAAAGAAAATAAAACGAGAGGAAAAAAGGGGACCGCGGTTTCCTGGCCGCCAACGCATCATAAGCACACACAAGCTACTATGTGCAGCCGTAGTAGTTAGGTAGGATGGGAGGTAGCTAAAGCAAACCTCGCTGCAGCCGTGCTTGTAACTCCATCTTGGTTGAAATACTGTCCTCTCCCTCTCCCTCTCGCCCTCGACTTCGCTCTCTCTCTCACCCTCCCTCGCCCACCCTTTCGCCGCCCAAGATGCATTCTCCCGTTCCTTGCCAATAAATCATCGTTGCCGTCCTGCACCTTTGCGCAGTCACGCGAGACCTGAGAGAACAGCAAGTAAGGCACAAGCTCCATTGTTGTCTAATCTATTTCTGCCACATAGCCTCCCCGGCCAAGTCGACGCTACACGGCCTTAGCTGTCTTCGAGAGCATCTACAGCTCCGAGTATAAAAACAGACTGACATCTCCGGCCATTTGCCCTCCCACTCCTTCAACCATATCCACCCACTACTTGTCTTATACCATCTTTGCTTCCATTCTTGGCACCCCACCTCCAAGCCCGTCCCGTTGGCACCTGCAGTCTCAGTCAACGTCCCCGTCTCCGTCCCCGTCTCCGTCCCCGTCCCCGTCTCCGTCCCCGTCCCCGTTTCAACCAGCATGCCTTCAGCTACACGTGAGGTCACCTCCTGGCAGGATAAGCTCGACCGTAAGATAGCCCAACACAGTGACTCGCCCGTCACCAGTGCAGACTGACAACCAGACAGAGGCCTGCCGAGACTGCCAGCTCGCAGCACCTGTTTTCCACATAGTGTCGGATAGACGAGGTGAGCCCCACCCGCCCCAAGACCATATCCATCCCGCACGCCGCAACATGACGAGTTCTTACTGAATATCCGACCCGTCCAGGTGGTCGAACTGCTTGGTCGAGCAGGGTGACGGTCCATGGAAGCGTTCTTCAAGCAAGGTTCTGGTACGACGGCAAGAACCTCAACAACGCCAGGGAGGACGCCGCCGAAGTTGCCTTCAACTGGCTGAACGGTTCCCAACCAAGCTCGCCCTCCACCAACCGCAGCGGATGGTAATGGCTGGGCCCCAGCTCCTTGTCCTTGATTCCTTTGCTCGATTTGCTTTGTCCTCTGAATCTGGCCTCGCTTCCTTCTCCTTTTTTGCTGTACGATACTATGACCACCTTTCCGGAGTTGGGAAAAGGAAAACCGGCCACCGCCACGCGGCATAGGGATTGCAACATGGGGCACGATGGAGCCGGCGCAAGTCTTCGTCCATTTTGCTTCAATTCCATTTCGCTCAGTTTTCCTTGGGATCACCCCCCACCCCCCGCTCTCAGCTCCTCTCTGCCCCGCCACGACCTCTCTAGCCGAGGAAAAGATGTCATTGCACGGTTGGACATTGGGACAGGTAGCTTGATATGGAGCTGGACAAAGGTATTGCCATCCATGGATACCGGAGCGTTGCATCTTGACTAACGACACTGCAGAGAACGTTCAAAGCCGACTGCCCTTCGATGCCTCATGCTCAGCCAATAGGGAACCATCAACCAAAGAGAAAGCTGGCGGATCGACAGGCCGCTAGGCAGTTTGTTGAAACTTGCTGCTCTTGTTGGAACGCTTGCTGCCGGGACTATTGAACTGCAGTCTATTCCCCCACTCGAGGAGATGAGCCCTAGGCAAGAACCTCTTGCTCGGTCGTTTTGAAAGGAAAAAGGAAATAATTTTGGGGAAATAACAGACACCGGTGCTGGATTGGGGTGGCAGTCTTTTCCGTCTCCTGGACAGTGGCTGTCGATCCGGGCTCCGATAAGGGGAACTGAAAGGGTGCTAATGTTTTCTTTTTCTGCGGGATGATAACCTCCTCTCATAGCTCGTTTTTCTCATGTCACGAATGATGCGGAACAGGTAAAAGCGGGAAGCTGAAAAGAAAACCAAGCTTTCCTTCTTCAAGACCATCAGGCCAAAAAATGCCACTCCGTGACTGGTTCCAATGTGCAGCAGCGCGACTGCTCCCCACCTCTCCTTGACTGGTACAACCACCCCGCTTCGATACGCCATTTACTCTAATGGTGTCCTATGCTGGAGTGGCTTGACGCAGTGCAGTGCGCACAGGACGACGGAAAACAGACTAGCCATGCAGGCGCGGCTTGGGGAACGGGGATGCCGGCACAGCGGTGGGCATGTTCGCGGGGACGGGGATTGGGAAATGGGGGCCCGGGGCGTAAATCCTTCATGGAAATGACGCAGTGACGCAGAAGAGCCGTCATTATCACACCGACTGGACCGGGGCCCTCAGCCGCTGAGAAAATCGATGGCCTCGGCCCTCAGAAGTTGCGGGCAGGAGGGAGGGGTTGGGAAAGAAAGGGATAGGAAAAGGAAAGAAAAAGGATCGGTCAACCATCATCAAAAGCAATTATGGCAGTGCTAAGATAGGCAGTTGGGAGCATCACATTCGAATCGGAGGTCCCGAGATACATCGTCACTTTTCGTCATCATGAGAAGCAACCCATCGGAGGAGGACAAGGCTCTGGTGATGAGTAAGCAATTTGGAAAGTCACGAGACTTGAAAGTACCTAAATGACCGTGCGTGTTCGGCGGAAGTCCGGCAATGCCAATTTTTTGATGCTTCTGGTCTCGACGCCTTCAAGACCGCAAACCTCGCCCTGTGGATGCTATCGACATCTGGTGCCACACGCACACGACAATGCCTCCTCCGTTGGGCATAAAGGGCGCCTTCAGAGCTCTTAGCATCCGGCCACGGCCTTCGCTGCAATGTCTGGTCCCACGGACCGCCACTCTGGCACGCGGGTTTGCAGATAACACCACCACGATCCCTCCCAGGTTACCCGAGCAAAATGCCGACTCCCTGCCTATTTCTATGACCAAGTCGAGCCAAACTCCTGATTCTTCAGTGGAAGGAGCCAGCGGCGCGGCAGCGGGCCAGTCACACAACGAGGTAGCGCTGGGCCAGCTGGAGATGGTCGCGTATGGCTTGAATCCCTTCGACCCTTCTGTCGAGGGACACAAATACGGCCTGCCAGACCTGCCACTGCCGTCGCAAATGCACATGAAGCACCGATACGACCCGGTAGTTTCCCAGATTACGAGACTGCTCATGCAGGATGGCAAGCTTAGCAAGGCTCAGCGGGTGAGTTCCTCCCCTACATGTCGACAACGGTTGTTCCCTAGCATCTATCATCTATCTGGTGCTAACAAGACCTCCCCACTTAGCATATGGCTGTGATTCTGAACCTGCTCCGGACCTCGCCGGCCCCAAAACTGAACCCGGCACGCCCGCTGCTCCCCGGCGCGCCGCCCCCGGCACAGCTCCCGCTTGACCCCGTCCTCTACCTCACGCTCGCGATCGACTCGGTGGCGCCCCTAGTCCGCATACGGGCGCACAAGGGCCTGGCCGGCGGCGGAGCCAGTCTCGACGTGCCGGTCCCGCTCGCGGCGCGGCAGCGGAGGAGGACGGCGTTCCAGTGGATCCTGGACGTGGTGGACAAGAAGAAGTCCAAGGGCAGCGGCAGGGACATGTTCGCGCACAAGGTCGCCGAGGAGATCATCGCGGTCGTGGAGGGCCGGTCGAGCGTCTGGGACAAGCGCCAGCTGCTCCATAGGCAGGGCACGAGTGCCCGGGCCAACATGAGCAACCCCAGGCTTAGGAAGCCCGGGAGATAACGGGGTGGTAGGAGGAGATGGTTACCTACGAAGGTCTGGGGAATAGTGGGGGATGGCCCGATGTATCAACCTACTCTGTATATTATATGTACCTACCTACCTTAAGAGTATGTGGCTCTTCTTGGTTGCGTGCCCTAAAAAGTCTGGCCTTGAACGGTGGTGTCTCTTCGCTGTTGGTAATCTCGGAGATCGATGGACATGGTCTAGATCACGCCGGTTTGGATAATTGACGAAGCCTCCTGTGCTGACGACATCAATACCTGGCGTACATTTCTCAGTGAACTTGCTACACACTCATCGTCTGAACATAGCCTCTAGGGTGGAACCTTGTCGGCAAGTTCCATCGATCTCGATTGCTTCGAAATATCGGTTAGGTACCTACCTAAGGTAGTTCACAGCCTACCTGCACGTGTACAATTGCGTGTTCTGGTGGGGCGTGTTTCCTTGCACATCTCTGGTATGCTTCTGGCCACGTCTGGCGTGCTAGATGGACCCTGACGCCGCAGCAGGACTGGTTGACTAAGATTAGAGTTTAAGAGCCAGCCCCATCATATAAGTTGGGGATTGAAAGCTATCAGTAAGCCCCACTTTGGGTTGAACTGATTCGACAACTTGTCCCTTCAGGCAGGTTGCCGTTTGTCTCCCCTAAATTGAGGGCAGCATACCTGACTTCTACAGGACTGACGTTTGCTGAGAAAACTATCCCTTGAAGGCTTGAGCAATTTCGAAACTTGCCTCTCTACTACCAATTAATATAGACTATGAAAGGATAAACGTCGCGAACGTGGTTTGTCAATGAGGCGGCTGATACCTCGCTGAGTGAACCGTAGTGGGGCTCATTAGCGAGGTACTTGACAGTTCTATCCAACTCCCGCACATGCGGGAAGTTTCTATCCTCGTGCATACCTACTTGCATCTGCTGTGGAAACGAAATCTAGATAGAATCATGATTCACAATCTATCTTCCGAAACGGATATGTGGCTCTCTTATTTTCGTTATGCGTGCTGAGGATTGCGAATCCGCACCCTTAACTCCCCCCCCGCTATCTCAGGCGGCCGATCCCCCAACTCCCAAGCACCGCAGGTGCGCCAACTCCCAAGCTTGCTTAGTGGTGCCTTGGCAGAAGTCCTTGCCTCACCTGGACCACCACCAGCACCCCCCTCCACAGCCATTAGAAGCCGACGCAGGACGCTGGGGGTTTCATGACACACAATGCTCCTTCCTTAACTGCAATTCAGCACATTCCAGTTCCATAACACTTGGTCCCGCTGAGTATTCTGACTCACCGTCGCATCTGACAACAACAGGCCGGGCCCTCACCACCCCGCCGCTTGGGAATTCTTGGTGACTGACCACACATCCATCCTTACACACCTACGATCTCAAAGGCCGAACGAGTACCTGAGCTACCGGACCAGCCCTTGAAGATGGCCCATCCTATGTCAATGGAGGCGATGCTCGACGAGGAGCGGAGGGAGGTGCTTGCCCTTCTCGAGGGGCCAAGCGCCTCGAGGTCTAGACCTCCCAGCTCGTTGGAAGCAAGATCACCCTCTCCATATACGGGGCCTCGCTCCCCAGTGCGCAGCATGCTAGATGTTGGTGAGAATCTTGCCCCCTGTTATTCGTCCTATCCTCACAGGAACTACGGCTAACGGACGCTGCTCTCCAACAGCGCCGGTGCGAAGTATGCTGGATGTTGACAGTCCAGTGCCCACTCCCATACGAAGCATGCTGGATGTGGACGGCCCACGTTCGCCCGCTGTTAAACAGGTCTTGAGCAACCCGAGCTCTCCTACAGACTCAAACTTCCGCGCACACCGAATAAACCAGTCCATCCACCCTCGCAGTCTCTCAGATGCAGCTGCTAAGACTGCCGACTTTGGGCCTCGGTCATCCAGTGCTCGCCTCGACCCGACTTCCGAGTATCAGTTCTCGGGGATTATCACGCACCATGTTGGCCAACCCCTCCCGAAGCGAGTTGCGCAGGGAGGTAAGCGACCGTCGGGGTCGATGGCAGAGGTGATGCGGGCCAACGACCTCTTATCTGGGGATAGGGGTCGCCATTACTCGGTCGGAGGTCCCGCGTCGAGACTAAAGAACAAATCGAAGTCGCCACAAAATCGATTAGATGTTCGCTCAAGCTCACCGCACAACAACCTCCTATCTGGTCGGCATCTTAGCCCGTCGGGACAGAAACCAGGAAGCAACCAGATAGTGGAGTATCAGAATGCCTACCGGCACTTGTCGGATGCGAATCTCGCCCGATTCGGAGGCAGCCTCTCGGAGTTGACCCGCCGTAAAAAATCAGACGACGCGACAAGCTTGGGTAGACTGGAGAAGGACTACTTGAGCCCCGATGGCGAATTGTTGCCGGACGACAGTACCGACGAGCATAACGGGTCTTCGTCAGATGATGAAGGAGAACGTGGCCGGAAGGCGGCTCGCAACTTCGACAGTGGCTCAACTGGCATAGATGGCGGACCAGCTAGCGCCAGTTCCCAGCCTGCTGACCCGTCGAGAAAGATGCGGAGCTTGATGGCCGCAGCAGAGGAAGAGCGTACGTGTGCGGCTTGTCAGTGAAGGTTCACATGTCGCTAACACTCGCCACAGGAAGACAGGTAGCCAGTCAGCAGCCCGCGTACCACTATCGTTCTCTGCTGGATGAACCCGAGATTACGGTCAGGAGTGGTTCCCACGAGCGGATGAAGCAGAGCAAGACGGGCGTCCACCCTGCAACGAGTTTTGACTTCCATCCTGGATCTGGAGGCCACACACCCATACACTCGGATACCGAAGCTGACATAACGGACATCAAGCGAGCCCAGAAGCTGTCCTTCTCAATGACCCCCATTATGAGCAGCCCGGATTCGCACCGATCTATTCGAATCATTGCCCGTGGGGAGTATTCGAACATCGTACACGACGCCGAGGAAGAGCACAGGCGCCTCCGGAAGTACCTGGTTGCCACCGATCTCAGCGAAGAGTCTACCCATGCGCTCGAGTGGGCCGTTGGGACGATTTTACGTGATGGGGATACACTGATCGCCATATACTGCGTTGACGAAGAGATGGGGATTTACCTCAGCGACAGCGCCATGATCCCGGACGATCCCAAAGCCATGAAGGATCAGGCCGCAGCTATTGACGCGGCTGCTAGTAGCAAGCCGCTCATAAACTTCACCGGCTCTATGATGTCGCTACATCCGCGGACTTCTCCCCTGTCCAACAATCTCGCGGATGGTTCGTCTCCTGCACCTTCTGTAAAGGAGCGAAACAAGGCCGAAGAGGAACGCCACCGAGCCGTCCAAGACATTACCGACCGGGTGACGAAGCTACTCCGCAAGACTAGCCTCCAGGTTCGAGTCATCGTCGAAGTCCTCCACTGCAAGAATCCCAAACATCTCATAACAGAAGTGATTGATGTGGTTAATCCTACGCTGGTTATCCTGGGCAGCCGGGGACGGAGTGCCTTGAAAGGGTTAGTAATTGGCGTTTCACAAGCCTCACTGAAGGTCTACTAACCCGAGTATCACAGAGTAATTCTGGGCTCCTTCTCTAACTACCTGGTGACCAAGAGTTCGGTTCCTGTTATGGTGGCGAGGAAGCGACTGCGAAAACACACGGTTTACAAGCAGCCGATCAACCAGCAGGTTAACAACATCAGCAACCCGGCCGCGAGGAGCCTGGCGAACGCGAAGATAGACTAGGGGCGCTACCTAACGATGATAGACTGGGTTCGCTATCTAACGGAGGGTTACGAAAATAACGACAGTAACGACCAAATCTCCCTTTCCAGGATTGCCCGCTGCGTGGTGCCGTGGCAGAACAGGGTAAGCCACAACGATGTATCCCAACCGATGGGATAGGGTTGACAGAAATAGCTTGGATCATTGTCTCCTATACAAGAGACCTACGGGGGTCGGAGTGCGGGCGCGGTTGCTAGTCCGGGGTTTGAGCGGAATACAGATATCCGGGATGGGTGGCATGGCGGATGCGGTCGATCTCGGAGATGGTTTCTTCGCAAACTTTCCAAGCGCTAACGCAGATTGCATTCATATTTCGAAGCGAGCATCCACGACATTGATGAGAATTATGATAGTCCAAGAAATTTATCCAATTCGAAGAGATATCAAGTTACCTACCCAAGCTACCTCGCTGATGTGTGAGTTGGGGAATGACACGGGGAGCAAGGATTGTGATAAAGGCTCTCTGCGGGGTGATAAGCTCCCGCCGGCACTAAAAGCTGCTGCCAAGGTAGCGGGTCCACTGTTTTCTTAGGTATTCGAAGTTGGAGGGGCTCCACAGCTACCAGCTTGCCATTTGTAAAAGTAGATATCTCGAATAGATAACTGTGAGCCGAAATAACTAGAATACAACCTCTGCTCTTGAGGTACCGAGCCCAGGTTTTCACCAGAAATGGATGAGATGTTGCGGTCAGGAGGGGTTGAAGGGGATCCATGGATGAACAGTCATTGGTGGGGTATAGGTGAGCATTAGCCAATCAAATATCAAAAATCAAACCCCTCCCTGCCCAGGGATGAAGGGTGATTGGCTGTTAGTGCTGCTCTGGGCCTGTAGTCAGGCCGCACTGGGGCTTCCCAACCTCTCGATTTGGACGACTTCCACGACTCACTGAGGGATGTCGTGGTATTCCCACCATTCACTTCTCCAGAGTTCCGGTGCTATGGTTCCAGGACCGAGATCTTTGCTTCCCATTCCACACACCACCGTCGAGAAGCCTGAGGATCGAAACATCAGGCAAGAGAACGACCCTCAAACCACCACCAGCTGCCTGGGCAAACTGCTGAACCGACAGGCATCGAACCAGTGACTGTCCCCAGCACGATTGCCCGTCGCAATCTGTGTGGTCTGCTCCTCCATGCCTTCACTTCTGACTGTCAACAACAACGTAGCGCTACTCAGCATAACCATTGCCCCCAGCACTTGGGTTGCGTCGCTTACACTTGGCTTGGTCTTCCTTTACCTATACCTGCCACCTCTTCCGCCCATCCGGTTGAACCACCTCTTCTTCAAGCGGAGCCGCAACCAGGCCACAACCACCACCAACCCTATATTCATCGATCCGGACGAAGGGCAGGACGACAAATCTCAGGGCCACCGCCGCAGAGCAATCACCGACAGACCACCACGCGCCCTCCTGACAGACACACCTCACTCGGACCGCAGGAGGCACAAGTCCAGCCGCAAGCACGACGGTGCCGGCGCCGCCCGCGACGAGCACAATGGCAGGAATCATCGACCCGCTCGACCACCTCGACGCCTCTCTGCAAGACTTCGAGCCCTCGCCTGGCAGCCCGCCGCCGGCCTTCGGCTACCCGTCGGCCCACTCTGGCTTCCGCAGCGACGAGACAGCGAGCGATCCGAACGACTCGGAGGGGGCGGGGGAGGGGGAGCTAGAGGAGGAGGAGGACGCCTCGGCCGGTGGCTACAGTCCGCCGGCCTGGCGGCGCCTCGGAAACGGTGATCGCAGCAGCGGCTTCTGGCGAAAGGGCAGGAACGTCAACGGCGGGGGCGGCCGCGGCGTGGGCGGCAATGGCTGCGGTTTCGGGGGTTTCGACCTCGGCGGCCACCTCTCGCGCGAGTCGTCGCCGAGCTGCGATAGCGACGGAGAAGTCGACGAGATCCTGGAGCAGGCTATTAGGACCAGATTGCCCACGGGTTCGGTGTCTCCGGAGAAGGAGAGGAGTCCCGAACCCGAGCACGTCGGGCTGCGGGGAGGCGCGGCGAGGATCAAGAGTGAGGAGGAGGACATGAAGGCGACTCTGACGGGTCCGAAGGAGGTGTCAGAAAACTGTAAGTGGAGTTTCTTTCTTTGCTATCGGACTCTTTTTCGTGACTTCAGTTGTTTCTAATGCCCCCAATAGATATCCGCTTCGCAGTAAGGGCAGAGGTCCAACAACGCACGGAGCCCATCGAGACTGCGATTGACTTTGTACGCGGCACATTGGGCAAATTGACGAGGTCCTGGACGTCCATGGCCCTCTCAACCCTGGTGGGAATCCTGGCGTACTCAGTAATGTGCTCATTGTTCGGGCCCGCGTCCTTGCGACCCGTGCCCGATCTAGTCAAGGTTGCCAGCATCGCGAGGTCATTCGAACCCCTTATCCACTACTCCGAGAACGGCGTCCAGCAGGTCGGCGACTTGCAGGCCACGGGGGTCGCAGTGTGGGATCTCGGCGAGAGCGTCCGGACGAGCAACATGACCTCGGCCCCGATTATCGTCAAGGAGCTGGACGAGCTGAGCGATAGCCTTAAGACTCTTGCCATAGAGTTAACCAAGTTCTTCGCCAACGTTGACGGGGACATTGACGGGTAAGGCGCCAGAAAGCCCATCGGTTCTATTTCTTTGTCTTGTCCCCCAAGCTAACGCGTCTCTGCAAAGAATCCTCATCGTTATGGATTGGGCCCGCCGCGAACTTTCACAGCTCCAGCAAGTCCCACCCCCGCGGCTGTCGTCCGCCTTCGACAACATCCACAACATGCTCTCCGCGGCCGGCATCCTAGAAGACGCCGCGACCGGGGAGCCGACCCGCGTGGGCGCCGTCGCCACGTCGCTGTTCGGCATGTCTAACCCGCAGCGGTCCCGGCAGACGCTGCAGCGGACGTTCAACGAGTTCCTCGCGGTCCTGGAGGAGGCCATCGAGTCGGAGCTGCAGCACAGCCTGGCCATCTTCGGGCTCTTCGAGGCCATCGACCGGCAGTTCCTCAACCTGGCGCGCGCCGTGGTGCGCGAGTCGAGCGCTCAGGACGACAAGCACGCCGACCTGCTCTCGTCGCTGTGGACGCGCATCCTGGGCCCCAAGGCGAGCGAGGTCAAGAAGTACGAGCGCAACCGGCAGCTGCTGCAGAACGTGCGCGAGAAGACGGTGCGCAACAAGGGGATCCTGGTCGAGCACAACCACCGCCTGCTGGCGCTCAAGGCGAACCTCGAGAACCTCCGCCGCAAGCTCGTCAGCCCGCTCGTCCGCTCCGTCAACAGCAGCACCCTCACCGTCGAGGAGCAGATCCGCGGCCTCGAGGATGCCGGCATCTACCTCGAGGCCGTCCGCACCCGCCAGAAGGGCAGGCTGATGGAGATGCTGTACGGCAGTGCCAGGGGCGGGAGCGGCGGTGGTGCCGGCGACGCGAGGAGATCTATCGATGATGCCGGGGGTTCTGGGTACTGGCACGGGCACTGATTTTAGGGGCACGAGCGCGTCACCACCGCTGTTAGGAGAGGTGATAACCAACGCACACCTCCTCTCCTCCCCTTTTCTTGCCCCCAACCAAACATCCCGTCGCCGAAGCTGCCAGGCGATGCAACGGGAGAAATTAGTCCGACATGGTCAACCCTACGCCACCCCACTTTTCTGTCCTCATTTTGGGTAGGAGGACAGCTCCGTCGGCGTTTTAGGTCTTTTGTCTTCTTCCGTTAGACTTTTGGGTTTGTAATCGGGCGAATTGTATTAAGAGAATCGCACTGGAAGTCTTGCCGATCATGTATGTATCTGTTTTAGCTAGCCCATTGGGCGGGCATCAGCCGACCTCTTTTTTCTTTATAAGTCTTTGCATCGGGCTGTACGTTGGTTGCGTCCGGCTTTTCGTGTGAGCCTGCAGGGTAGGCACAGACTCGGGAAAGCCTTCCTTGCGGCTGCTGCGATCCTCGATACAGCCCACGGAGGTGTTAGGCAGGGTTCGTTAGGGACGACGGCGCAAGGATATCGGGGTTCGGGTCACAGGATACGGGGCGGCTTGGACTGGTTGCTTTGCTGTAGGTAGGCACATGACAAGGAGCCATAGGGCAGGGCAAGAGACCGAATCATGGAAAAGCACCTACGATGTTATAGTAGTATGTCGGGATCCGACATGTTGATGGCGGCGATACATCGGGCACATGTAGTGGCATTGATAGGACACATAGACGCAACATTTTCACCCCTATTATTCTCTCTCCCTTTTTTATTCTTCTGCTTTCATATCAGGGCATCATGGGACTCATCATTCCCAACCAAGACAATTACCATGCACAGTTACTGTGGAGATTTCTCAGAACTTTTGTCTATTAACTAATGCCCCTACTGATAGGATAAACGACTACCTAGTCCTTCTAGCAGGTAGGCACCGTGGTGTAGTCCCATTCTGATGGGGAGGACCGGGGTATTCGACGAGCAAGCCTAACCCAATGTTGGCAAGCAGGATCATGACCGCAACCATAAACGCCGTGGGTGTAAACCCCCAGTCCTGGAAATGGTCACCTTGGGACCAAAGAGCAAGTCTATCAGTACATGAGAATATCATGAAAACCACCCGAAAAAGAAAAGCGAAAGCGCTAACGGGTGGGGGTTTTGGCGAGGATGAGATAGAATATGTCTCCGCCAATTGCAAAGCACCAAAAACTTTTCCCGAACGTTGTGCAAGGCCGACCCTGAAGCCGACCGCATGTGCGATCGATGTAGCCGATGAAAGGATAAGGAAATCGATGATATCACAGGAAGGCCTCAGGCCTCCTCAAATGAGTAGCCAGCGGAAGTCTAAGCCTTCTCCTCAGGCTTGTCCTCCGCCGCCTTCTCGCCCTCGGGTCCACCCTGAGCCTTGAGATACTCATCATAGACAGCCATCGCTTCGTCGACCTTGGCCCGGAGAGAGGTCTCATCCTCGAGACTGCCATGTGTTAGAATAAATGAATCAAGCGAGGAATTGGTTAGGGAGAAGGGGAAGGGGGGTCTCTTACAGGTTGACGAGCTCTGCGTTGTCCATCTCGAGCAACATGCCCGTGATCTTGCCGGCCAACTCGGGCTGAATGTTCTGGATTTTCGGGAAGAGGTTCTCGCCGAGGATCTGCTTCTGCTGCTGCGGGTTGCCAGTGGTCGCAAGCTGAGTTTGCAGAAGGCTGGCGGCATTCAGATCACCGGACCCGCCCACTTGGGGAGGCATACCACGACCACCGCTGATGAAGGGTTGCTGACCGCCCCGGTTAGGGCCTCCTCCACGTCCACCCATGTTGCCGCCTTGGGGCCGACCGTTGGGGGGATACCCAGGCATACCTGGCCCGCCGGCGCCCTGAATGCCCTGAGGCAAGGCACCCGATGGTCCCTGCATACCCCGGCCACCGGGGCCACCCCGACCACCACCGAGAGCAGCCTGTTGCTGCTGTACCTGCTGAATGGCTGCGAGGAACTGGGGCGTGTTCGGCTGAGGGTAGCCCGCAGGCGGGAACTGGCCAAGAGGGTACATGGCGGGAGGAATCTGCTGGCCCGGAAGGCCACCACGTCCGCCCTGCTGGGGAGTGTAGCCGCCAGGGAATTGACCCGGTCGTCCGCCCTGGACTCCGGGCATGCCCATGCCTCCCTGGGGGAATGGCATGCCACGTCCGCCGCCAGGAGGCATGAATCCGGGTTGCTGTCCGGGAGCGTAGAAGACCGAGGGCTGCATGTATTGCTGGGGCATACCGGCCGCAGCGGCAGCTTGCTGCATCCGAAGTTGGTTGCGAGCCTGAATGCTCTGCTCAAGCTGGCTCTTCCGCACGTCCTTGCGCTGAGCAAGAGCAACGTAGAGCGGCTTGGTATTGATCATGCGCTGGTTCATCTCGGCGACGGCCTTGGTAGCATCATCAGGATTGCTGAAGCAAACGAATCCGAAGCCCTTGCTCTTGCCAAGCCTCTTGTCCGACGACTTCTTCTCAGCCTTCTTCTCGGCGTCTTCCTCCTCGGGTTCTTCCTCGGCCTCCTTGTTCTCCTTGTCCTTTCCTTCTTGGTCCTCCTCACCCTCGGCGTTGGTTTCTCGCATAACCTTAGCCGATGTGATGGGGCCGAACTCGGAGAACATCTGTCGCAGCTTATCATCGTCGACCTCATCCTCGAGATTCTTGATGTAGAGGTTGACGCCCTGGTACTTGTTCGCCTTCTCCTGGCGAGCGGCCTCGTAAGACTTCCGGAGCTCCTCCTCACGCTCATGTTTCTTCTGGGCACGCCCAACATAGAGGTCCTGGCCATGGAAGTCCTTGCCGTTGAGGTCGTCGACTGCCTGGGCAGCGGCCTCGTGGGTGGTGTAGTTGACAAACCCGAAGCCACGGCTCTTCCCCGTCTCGTTATCACGGGCAAGAGAGGACGAAGTGACATCGCCAAACTTCTCAAACAGCTCGCGGAACTGGTCTTCGTTGACGTCAGGGCTGATATTCTTGACGTAGACGTTGGTGAAATTCGCCTTCATTTCCTCAAACTTGCTCTGTCGGTCCTTCTTGGGGATGTGGTGACCAACGTAGACCTTCTTCTCATTCAGAAGCATACCGTTAACGTGCTTGATGGCCTGCTGGGCAGCCTCATCGGTCTCGTAATGGACGAATCCGTAGCCCTTGGAGTTGCCGTTCTCGTCCTGGGCAACCTTGCAGCTGAGGATGTTACCGAACGCGACGAAGGTATCGTGCAGAGCCTTGTTGTCGATTGCAACATCGAGGTTCTTGATGAAGATATTGCCCTGGCCAGTCTTGCGAAGAGCCGGGTCGCGCTGAGACCACATGATGCGGCAGGGTCTGCCCTTGATGACGGTGTAGTTCAGTTCCTCGAGGGCCTTCTCGCCGTCGGCAGTGGCGTTGTAGTTGACATAGGCGTATCCAAGAGAGCGACGAGTCACGGCATCACGGCAGACACGGATAGACGCAACGGAGCCGATTTGGGAGAAGAGCTCGAAGAGCATGGCCTCGGTGACAGATGGATCTAGCTCTCCAACATAGAGGGAAGCGGACGCTTGGGGGTGAGGAGCAGCTGAGCTGGGGGTTGGGCCAGCCGTCTGGGCCTCATCACCCTGGGCATCTCCAGAGGCGTCATTGGTGTTGACGGCAGGAGCGTTCTTTTCGCCTCCATTAAGGTTCGTGTTGCCGAGGTCGGCGGCGAGCTGGTCAACAGCGGCCGGGGTTACAGAGGCCATGATGTTCGAGGTGATTTCTGTGACAGTTAGACTTTTTGCGCACTTTGGTTGTCGAGCTTGGGTGGGTAAGGAATAGCGTTTGCAGGGCCAAGGTAACGGGGGGGCCGTCAATTGATGAGAGAACCTACTCAGGAAATCCCAGATGGATGTATCAAAGGACTGGGGCAAGAGGTGCTATCGCGGTCCAAAGGGCGAACGATAGACAAAGAGACCAGCGAGGTTCAAAGAAGATCCGTTGTGGCGATGGAAGGATTTGGATTAGGGCGCAAGTGGTGGCGTTTCGAAGACGATAGGTACCGTGTCTTTGTGATGGGCGGATGAGGGATAGGGATGAGGGTTTCGTTGAAGGATTTCGGGGGAGGATCGGGATTATTGTTTTGTAGGATTTTCAATTTTTTTTGGGGAGTTTAGAAGTACCAGAAAGAAGTAGATGAGAACAGAACCAAAGTACGTTGGAATCGCACTTATCTGACTCCCTTCTAATGTTTTTGGGAAAGGATTTCTTTTTCGGGGAGGGGGATAAAGAGTTTTGTGAGGTTGGTTGAAAAAAGGAAAGGAGCCCCCGACGAGTTTGGTCGATATAATTTTTTTTTGCCCCAGTTGGTGCCTCCTCTTCCCTCGTTTATCCAATGAGGAAGCACATATTATGTAATTATCCGTCAGGGCATTTTGGTGGGGCACATCTCTTTATGCAGTTCCCGGTCGTTTCCCATGTGAATAGAGTTTAGGTAGGTAGGTTTGCGGTGACCGACCTAGCAAGCTTATTAGGTACCTAGTCACGCACGACAACAGACACGGCAAAGGTACCTATGCGCCGACGTATTGCCGTTCAAGTCTGGAGATCGGCTAGTTTACAGTTTCCAAGACGCGACCCTCAAGCTACACACCAGAGCTTTTCCTAGCCGACAGGCGAAAAGGCGCTGCATACCCGAGCCATCACCAGCCCCTCCATCTTGGCCAGACATCGATGACTTCATCCTCCTTGCCTTTGTTTCTGCTGTCCACAATCAGGTAGTAGTCGAATCCTGCTCCAGCGATGCAGGAATGATTCGGCCAGATGCGAAGTCGCTGCCCCACCTCCAGTGGAACTTCTTCCTGTTTCTCGCCGTTCCACACTAGTATGCCGTGCTCCTGGCTGATCCGTCCAACCTGCCACCCTCTGTGAACCCTCGGGAAATCCGCCCCTGGAGCTACGTTTCGAGAGTTCCAGGGAGACACCATTCCCCAGCCACTGTAATCCTTCCCGGGAAGAGCTCCCTTGTCCTGGACCGGCTCCCTTCCCAACGCCAGGCACCCGGCAGTGACCAGAGCCTCGGTCGTGCCGTCGGCGCCGCGCCCGGGATAGAGAGAGGCCACCTCGACGAGCACATCGAAGGCGATGTCTTCATGCGTCATAAGGCTCCTGTCCCGCGCATGAGTCGCAAGCTGCTGCAAATCCAAGGTAGGATACACCCCCGCATGGACCTCCAGCTCGAGGCCATCGGTCTTCAACTCCCCAAACAGCTTCGTCAGCAGCCCCGTCGGAGCAGTGGTCTCTCCGCCCACATCCGTCCCACCACCTGCGTCGGCACTCACACCGTCCCCCAGCCCGGGATGCTGGACGGTCGTTGCAGTCGGCGTCGCCCCCACCGACAGGACGAGAGAGTGTCCGGGGCTCCTGGAGCGCACCTTCCCGGCGGCCATCTGCACGCCTAGAAACTCCGCCGCCAGGAGCTCCATCGCACGCCAATCGTCACGCATGCCGTACGAGTGGGAGGCGTGCGAGTACAGGCCGTGGAAGACGCAGTCGCCGGCAGCCTCGCTTGCCAGGAGGGCGTCAATGAGGGCGTCGCAAGCGGGGGAGTCGGGCTCGACGCCAGCGCGGCGGTATCCGGTGTCGACCTTGAGGAAGACGAGCGGCGGATGGCCCGAGGCGGAGGAGAGGTTGGCGAGCAGGGGGACTTGGCCGGGGTGGTCGATCATGACGCTGACCGAGCCAGGACCCAGTCGGGAGGCGATATAGGCGAGTCGGGGCACGGCGAACGATGGGAGGGGGAAAGAATGGAGGATCTAGGGGGTACGGAGGTGAGGCTCCAGACCTCAGATACGGGATTCCATGACTTACATTGATTTTTCGGCCTTTGGACTGATACTCCTCGAGTAAAGGCACGATATTCTCAGCTTCGACGAGTGTAGATACAACGAGGTTGGCAGGAGTGTCGTCTCCATCTCCAACTTGAAGTCTCGTCAGTTCAGTAGTCTAACGATATGTTAGCTTCGGCACATCCACTCTCGAGCTTGGATGTATCTATCCTCTCCTACGGAAGCCGTCCAACTTGCAGCTTGAAGCTGGGACAGGAAAAGAGGCAATACGAAAACACAAAAGTATTTAGAATTGGCACTTCTAGGCCGTGGGGGTGGGATGACACAGAGAAAACTGGAAGCAGAAGGCAGCAGAGTTCACCTTATGAGTTTTGATATGAGGCCGCCATAACATCCCAAGTCTCTTTGTGGCGTCAATCATCCGCTGACAGTTGACCTCCAACTTGGCAAGATCGAGGACTGCGGCAGGGGCAGGGACATCTTGCAAGGTTCGGCCCAAATATCTGCTCTTCAGAGCTGCAGTTGTTGTGTCTTCGGCCATGTCCTCGATGTTGCATTCATCAAAAAGAGCTATATTAGATTCAATAGGCCACGGTTGAACCTCAGGTGTGAGGTTGCGACATCGATAAATGGCGAAATATAGGTACCGGTCAAATAATACCTAAGTTACCTAGGTTAAGATAATCGGAAAAATCCAAGGTTCAATAGTTACCGGGCAGGCAGCCCCAAGCCTTGAAGTCATTCGCAGCCTGGTTCCACACTGCGGAGACAGCTGGTACTTGCACTTGTGTGTAAAATGCGCTGAGATGGAACCTAGGTACACGTATCAATTAATGTACGGCGGTTTGGCGCTAGGGTGGTAGCTCCGAATGTTAGGTAATTCCGCTCGGCTCATGCCTTCCCAAACCTTGAAGTCACAACTCCTCACCAAATCATCACGGCATCTTCCTCCCGCCAACCCCGACCTCCCAGGTAAAATCAAACTGCGCTTGCATGTCACGTATGGCGCACGTATGATGACCTGATTTTCCACGACTGCGCGCAATAGTTTGGAGGAGCGCGTGGGGTAATCGCACAACGCAAGAAGCAAGAAGCAAGAGGCAAGCACGAAGCCAAGATGAGTGAGGAAACCGGCCTCGAGTTCGGCGCGCTCGATGAGGAGGCCTGGAAGCAACAGGAGGCGGATGATGACCAGGCCCTTCAGAGCTTCCTCAACCCTGATGTCACAAATCCTACGGGGGGGAGCAGCTTAGGAAGCGAGCTTGAAACCTTCATGAAGGGCGGTTCTATCGACCAGAGAGGAAAGGCAGACGATGCCATCGACTTTGAAGATATCGATCTGAGCGACGATGACCTCCCCGACGAAGAAGAGAATGCTGGCGGAGCATCTGGTGAGCTGCCCGGTTTGACCGACGATGGGGGTACGAGCAACGACACCGATGACCTCTTTGGCGATCTTCAGCCCTCGTCTCCCCTGGACGATACCCAGGCTGGCCTTCGATCATCCCCTCAGCCCCTCGACGCCGATACCGATGGTGCGCGCCTGTCCCCTCCCGGCAGCGAGACTATCGAAGAACTTCGAGAGCTCAATTTCAATTTCGACCACGATACCGAGTCCCGGGATGCCGCAAATCAGGACCCGGACATACCGGCTCCACCAGAATCGGAAGAACTCCTTGTGAAGTTGCAGTGGCCTGGGTTCGAGAAGGGCGTCATCCTGAACTGGAACGAGCTTCTGCGACCTAAGCAAGCGACATGGATCTCCAAAAAGCCCCTCAAGATACCGAAGCCGCTCATTCCAACCAAGCTTGGTTTGGAACTCGATGCCGACCAAGAGAAACTCTTTAGGATTCCTGGCACCGCAACCGCATCCGTTTGGCAGAAGATTAAGGATGCCGAAGCCAGGGGTCTTGTCTGTTGCGAAGAGCCAGAGCCCGTGGAGCAAACAGATCTGGACATATTCGACATTGATGGCGAATCGGACTCTGAGGCCATCGGCGGTTTTACGTTGAGAGATATCGCGACTTTGTGCGACGACTGGGAGACTATGATCAACCTGGGTGACTCTGCCCTTGTCCAGGCTTCCCAGACTTCCGGCGACAAGCGGCCCCTTAAGGATGGGCCCGATGATGAAGCGCTGTGGGACGAGATGTTCCTTGACCAGCCCGACGCAAAGAAGAGGAGGATCGAGCCACCCAGCGGGCTACCCGAGATTCCCCGGTTCACAGCGCCCAATTTTGACAACTTCCTCGAGGCAACCGCCAAGCTTAGCAAACGCGTCATCCTCGATAGGAATGACCCATATCTCCTAATCGACGACGTGGAGTCGGATCGAGCTTCGAAGCGGCGAAAGGTACAGAACAACATGATACGAATGGCAAACGGTCGACTGGTTCCGGATGTGAGTGAACGTTTCAACCACTCGTCCGATCTCGCATACGAGGCGTTGAAGGAAAACCACTCGAACAAGATCCGAGCTTCGACGTCGTACATCCCCGTGGATCACAGCGTGCCCGCCCAGAGGCTCCAATGGCCCTACTACAAGGTCAGACTGGCTGCTAGCGACCCTCACAGTTATCACCGCCCGCAACTACAGACGCGCAAGGTGGCCTTCTCAACCATACGATTCGGCAAGCCCAATGTGCTGAGGCGAAGGGCAGTAAAGGGAAAGAAGATCAAGCAAATCTTTAAAGAGTCGAAAGATATTTCGATGAACGATAACTCGACCGCGGTGCTGTTCGAATACTGCGAGGAGATCCCGACCGTGCTGTCTAACTTTGGGATGGGTAGCAAGATCATCAACTACTACCGGCGAAGCAAGGGTTCGGAAGGCCGGCCGGAGAAGCGGGAGCTTGGCGAGCCCTACATCCTGCTACCAGAAGATCGCTCCCCCTTTGCGATCTTCGGCCAAGTCCACCCAGGCGAAGTGGTGCCCGCGTTCTATAATCAAATGTATCGCGCTCCCATATTCAAACACAATCCCAGAAACACAGACTTCCTAGTTGGCCGCAGTACCAGCGGCCTAGGGGGTTCGACGTGGTACATTCGGAATATTGACCATCTCTACGTCGTTGGACAGAATATGCCTTCGATGGAAGTGCCTGGGCCTCACTCGAGGAGGGTGACAAACATTGCCAAGAACCGTCTCAAGATGGTGTCCTACCGCCTTCTGCGTAAGAGCGACCACGTCACCCTCCACGACATCACTCGGCACGTTGCCGAGTCCAACGAGTCGCAAAATCGGCAGAAGTTGAAGGAATTCCTGCGCTTCCGCAAGGATACGAAGGACTGGGCGCTCCCAGAAGGCGAGGAGATGATGCCAGAGCCCGAAATCCGATCTCTTGTCAAGCCAGAAGAAGTGTGCCTGCTCGACGCCATGCAGGTCGGTGCACACGAGCTCGAGAACGGTGGCTACGAAGCAACGGGAGAACAAATAAGAGACGAGGATCCCGACCCGAACGTGGACGATGCCCCGACAGATTCCATCGCAAGCAAGATGGCGCCGTGGAAAACGACGAGAGCGTTTATCGATGCAAGCTATAGCAAGGCAATGCTTGCGGTACACGGAGCAGGGGACCCCACTGGGAGGGGCCTTGGGATCAGCTTCCTGAGGACATCCATGAAGGGCGGCTTCCTCGAACAGCTACACGGACCCCTAGCGACCTCGGCCGATGCCATCGAGCGTCAACGCAAGGCGAATGGTGGCCATATGTACAACGTTAAGAACCAGGACCAACTCTATACTGAGGCGATTACGGATATCTGGAACCGGCAGCGGGAAAGCCTCGAGGACAGCAAGGAACACGAGGACGAGGACATCCAACCTCAAGAGGACGAGGACGAGCGATTCAACGTCCCCAAGGATCTTGCTGCTGCTCCTTCTCAACCCGAAGGCATGAGCCAGATCAGTCGGAGTGCCGCTAGCGCCATGAGCCGACGGAAGTTACACATCGTTCGCGAGGTGCAGCGGCCCGATGGCAGAACCGAAACCGTGACCGAGATCGTCCACGACCCTGTGGTCATCGCACAGTATATCAAGAAGAGGAGGCAGATGGACATCGATGAGATCGAGTAAGTTCAATATGCCGACACCATGGCGACAATATGGTCGCGCATTCGCTAACCATTCCTCCAGCATCTACAACGCCAAATTGACAGGCGATGCCGAGAAAGACCGGCTCCTTCTGGAAATGTAAGCGTCGGCCCGTTTTCGATTGCAGGCTCGTGATGGTGGCTAATCGTACCAAACCCCAGGGCGGAGAAGGAGAAAGAACGTCTCGAGAAGAACAAAGAACGACGGCACAAGCGCGAGAAGCAGAAGAAGATGCTGCAGAAACGCAGCGGTGTGGACGCCGGCCGCGCCGACGGAGAAGGCTCCCCCGAGCCTACAACGGAGAAGGGCACGGGCACGACGCGCAAATGCGCAAACTGCGGCCAGGTGGGCCACATCAAGACCAACAAAAAGTGCGACACAATGACATGTGATTTCTACGATCCTTCTGCTTGGGCACTAGAGGACTTCGGGGAAGAGGAGGCGAGATAGGAGCCTTGCATTCCTATGTTGCTTCGTCTCTGATCGCCACAACTCCCCCCGCCTCAGGCCCCATCTATAACTACACTCTACCCAAGCACAAGGATGACAACCTCGCTCGCGTCTCGTTGTCGACGCCGGGCGTTGTCTGCTGATGTGCCCCTCCCCCCAGCTAAATGACCCTGCCTTTCTCCATGGCGGTGGTCCTCATGCTTTCCCAGTCAACTTGCAGCTCTTTCCTTTTATTGGGGCAATTCATCCTCGGCTGCGTTTTGAGTTGCAGCTTTGATTGCTAACGCGTCTCACCTCGAAGGCTCTGCCCGCTCCTCAACGGAACGATCCAACGAGACCAGAGCCAAGACGAGAGTGCTGGTCTTGGTTCACTCAACGCGCCTGTTGCCGCGCACTTCCTCGGCACAGGATGAACGACGTTACTCCGGAGGACCCCGAGTTCTGGCGCTTCTAATGTGGCCTTTACGATTTTACGACAGCAGGAGGTCTGCACTTCTTCGGTAGACGCGCGAATCATATACGCGGCCAACAAACCATGCTGCCACCACACCTAACTAGTCGCCGCATTATGGCCCCCACTAATATTTTTTGTCCTCCCCCCAGCGCCTTGTGGGACTCGACATCAGGTCCTCGAAATCCGGGTCATGCACCCAGGTTCATGCGCACGTAGGAACTAATCATAGAAATCATCCTTATTTCAACTCCCGAGCCCAAGGCACGTCGATCGGCACGATTATCTCGAAATATCCACGGACCAGGCGTTGGTGCGGGTCATCTCACATCATTCTTGTCCTACCCGGGCGCGCCTGTCTCAGAAGGGCTGCGCGGAAAAGGATTCTGGAACGGTGACACAAGCGCGTCTGTGCGAGACCAAGTATTGCATGAAAGCCCAGGTGTGAGCCTTTTCCAAATATGGAAGAAGTTGCCATGGGTGGAGTGGCACACCGTCTTGGCGGGATCTCCCTGCGGCGAGGGATTGACTGGCTGCACGACACGGCTCTGAGGGAGGGAGCGTTGAGGAGTGGGGGGCTTTGGTGGAAAACGAGACCCGTCATTGAGCTGGGATGAATGTGGATAGGGCTGGTGCTACGAAAGGGGGGATCATGGCACCTCCATTTGGCGAGGATAGTGTAAATTGAACCAGCCGATATCCCAATACAACTGCTGGCAACCAACTGAGTATTTAGTTGCCCTGCGGCGACGGCCAGTCTATTCAAGGAAACCAATCAATTTCCTGGTTTGATACGCATGCCAGCTTCGCGAGTGGCAGCCTTCCATCAGGCACAGATATCATTCACGGGTCATCAACCTCCAACTTGGGCATCGTGCTGCCAAGGAATGGCTCCTTCGGCCGGCCCACTGGGAGGGATCCATGGATGTTTGAGTGGTAGTGCAGATGTACGGCCGGGCGGTTAAGCAAGGTACTGCGCATCAGCCGTGATAAACTTAGAACTTGGTGTGAATGCTCCCTCGTCCCAAGCCAAGCAAGGAGGGAGGGGGGAGGGAGGCAGCACGCATGACGTGAGGAATTCCGGGAAATCAGGGTCGCATTGCGCGGCTGCTATTGTCCCACGGCTAGACGACCTACGCGCGCAACGACTGGGCCATTTTTGTCACATCCCGCCATCGGGATCCCGGCCGCAAGTGTGTGAGGTGCTGGGAAGGTCGGTAGCGAGGTGGTGGTTGGTGCCGGTGATGGTGTCGAGTTAATGAAGGTGCCTGGTACGCGGTCCTGCCTTGAGGTCGTAGATTCGGCTGTTTTGATATCCGCAGGGCGCAGCACTATTGGCTCGCGCGGAAGGGGCGCCTATCCGCGAGATCCGGGGGCAGGGGTTCGGGTCTGACTGGACGACTTACATCCCTCTCTAAAGGTGAGATTCATGGTATCGTGTCTTGGCTATAGTAATGAATACTTGTCTCGGGGAATCGGATGGGGTAGAAACAACAGGGGAGATAATTATTGCCAATTAACTATCGACTTTGAAAGTAAGCCATGGCACGGCAACACGCCGAGAGAAGAAAACAGTCACTCATAGTACTCGGTGAAGTGCCATCGTGATGCATCAACATATGTGGTTGGAGATGGAGGATCCAACCAACCGCGGAACAATTTGGCCAAAATAGCTAAAAATAGCCCACGATAAAGTGGGCTAATCCTCGCATTTAACCCTGTTACGGGCAAATTAACCCACCGGGCGCTAAGAGATGAAACATTCAGCCAATCGCGAGTGTGGGCAGATCACAACCTGCAGGGATCATATGTTCTTGGTCTGAGCCCCCTGCTGCATAGACCCACGGTGATTGCGGCGAAGGTGCATGCTCTCTTGCAGATGGGCAAGAAGATCCTCGTAGCACAACCCAGGTTGGCAAATGTGCAGGGAGGTATTCTGGACTCTGGGACCGATGTATGTACGTACATACATACAGAGCGTTGAGAAGGTCATCATGCCGACATGGAACGTCGATGTGGGTGAAACGGGGAGATTACACTATGGGCATTTTGAACGCTGATCCCAATTGCGCGTTGTAATTGGTCATTAGCGGCTTAATAAAACGTAGGTCGTAGGGTCCAGCACCGTAGGCCGATCGGCTACAATTGCCTGGGGCCAAAAAGATGGCCAACGACGGCACTTTTCTTCAAGGCCCACAGTACGGGAGATTGAGATCTGATTCTGCGATCCAAGCGCGAACCGGGCATCCTTAGGTCCTGGCATGGTTCAACTATTTCCCCCCAGAGTTACGACCAGGCAATCAAGCCCCTGCCGTCCGCCACATATGAATACCTATTACTTCGAAGTTAATCCTGCATCCAATTTACTATATCCTCGCTGGATAGGTTTTGGACGTTATGATGTGCATGCCGGAGGCAATACCGCCGCAATCACGTGCCAGTGTTATAGTCAAACGCTAGCAGAATAGCGCTAGTTCGACCGCGTCTGAAATGGGCGGAAAGCAGGTAGGTACCTTAGGTAGCTAGCTACCTCTAGCTGGTTAGGGGTTGGCAATGACAAGTAACAAGAGAGGCTACGCAGGTACCAGTGTTGTTGAATCCTTTGGAGAAAGACGGGAACAGTCAGAGCAGCTGTCGTTGAAGGAATCTTGGCCTAACTGCTACTTGCCCGGAGGGCAGCTGCAAAGTATCACCAAACTGAGGACGATAGGACGTTTTCGCACAGAGACTAGCCGTCTCTCAGGCTCTATCACCCCCCAATATGCTGACTTTCTCCCGGTTATATTGAAAGGTTTGAGTATCCAGCGAAATGAGAGGCGCGGCCTGGTACCAATTGTTCCGGCAGTAATGCTAGCGTACGGGCCACTCCGTTTCGGCTTTCCTGGTGGGGGAGAACTGCCAAGGATGGATCTGCAAGAAAAAAGCGTGACTCAAAGGTGGGGCCTCGCCAGACCGTTGCTGGTCAAGGCGGAAAGGGTGGGCTGGCCCCAAGCCCACGCCCCCTCCACTCCCGTCACTCTTCTTTCCCTCCTCCATCACCCGCAGAGGAAAGTGAACACGATCCATCTATAATTAGAACTCCACGCCCACAGATTCAGCCCCAACCAGCACTACCCATCCCAGACGGCGCGCATGTACCAGAGCATATGCTAGACCCTATTGTGTACAAACAAAGGAATTGACGTCGACCTTCAACGGTCCGCGGCCGCTTCCTGCCAGAAAACACAAAAAGGGCCCTTGTCCTGTCGTTGCTATTGCCATCGCCATCACGGCAAGGCTCGTGTCCCATCGACCACTTGAAGACCACTCCCGAACGCTAGGCCCGCCCCCAATCCTTCACAGGGTCGAGCTACCCCAAAGAGTCTAAGCTCTCATCCAGAAGCTTTCACGAAGCTATTCCTCCCTCGGAATCCATATCGCATCTGTCAAATCTCCACCACAACCCCGTTGCTCTCAGCGCCCAGATCCCTTCTGGGTCACTTCAGCTTGCGCGGTGGCTGGCGACGAGATATCAACGCCGCCTTTCAGGCAATTGATCGTGTATCATAGCCACCCTCTTCCATTTCTCCACCGACCTCCATATTCCACCATACCTAGTCCCCAACCCAGGCTTGCACTGCCGCCAAAATGGGCAGGAGAAAGATCGAGATCAAGGCCATCAAGGATGACCGGAATCGCTCCGTGTATGTGTCCACCTCCCCGAATATCAATGACCTACATACTGATCGAGTTTCTGTACCCAGAACATTCCTAAAGCGAAAAGGCGGCCTGTTCAAGAAGGCGCACGAGCTTTCGGTACTATGCTCCGTCGACGTCGCCGTCTTCATATTCGGCAACAATAAGAAGCTCTACGAGTACTCATCATGTGATATGCGCGAGCTGATCACAAGATATACATATGTGCGTCCTTGAGCCCCGGTGTCTTTATACCCTGATTGATTGTATTCCGTACTGACCCAGCGGTTGCAGCATGGAGGTCCAAATGAGCACAAGGGCCCGTCTGATTTCAATGGCGGCGCCGATGAGGATGGAAGCGACGACGAGAACGGCACTCCTCCACAGGGCGAGGGCATGGATCCTAGCATGCTGCCTCCTCATTTTCAAGGCCAGCCCCAATTCTCCCATATCAGACATCACACGCCGTCGGCATCCCCTCCTATCCAGAACGGCGTGTTCGCGCCACATCCTGGCCATCCAGTCCCGAGAGGGCATACCCCTCAGCCTGGGATCGGCTCGCGGCCGCCTTCCAGGGGCGATATAAGGAGAATGGGACCAAACATGGTCCAGCAAGTCGGGCCTTCTGGCCCTCAGCAACCTCAAGTGAACGGCTATCCCTTCATGCCGCAGCCGGCCATGTACAACACTCAAAACCCGCCGAATATCCCCCACGGCTTGCCTCAACAAGGCCCCCAATATCCCTATCCTCCACCACAAGCACATACACACCAGATGCAGCCGTACATGGAGGACCAGCGACGCTCATCATTACCTCCCAACTTCCCTCCTCAGGGACCCCAGCAAGGACCACCAGCTCCAAGGCATTCTGCTTCGCCGCCACAACCATCATCCCAGCAGCTCCCTCCTCAGCCTATCCCACACATGTCTCCTCCTCCGCACCCACATCCCATGCAAAGCCCGCCTCAACCGCAGCACCAGCAGCAACAACACCAGCAACATCACCAACAGCAGCAACAACACCAACAACAACAGCAGCAACAACAACAGCATCACCAACAACAACAGCAACAGCAACACCAGCAACAACAGCATCACCACCAGCAACAACAACACCAGCAGCCGCAGCAGCAGCAGCAGCAACCCCATGCGCAGTCTCAGCCACAACCTCAAGAACACCAGCCACCACAGATACAGGAACCGCTTCCTCCCGCTCCTGTAGAGCCGAAAGCCGAGTCTTTGGCAGACCGGGCGCGGGCGCGACAGCCCCCGTTACTCGATACTGTGGTCAAGAAGCTACCCCAACGCAAAGGGGGAAGCATCTTCACGCCTATTGACGAAAATCGGTCCATCCTCTCACAACACTTGGCTGCTTTCCATCCGGAGCCTCCCAAGTCGGACGCTGCCAATCGATCCCAACCGGCTGATGGCGGAAACTCGTCGCGCAATGGCGGGCCGAGCCCTCCGCCAGCTTCACAACGGTCGACAGAGAGCCAGAGTCACAATAGGAGAGATAGACCGATGGTTTCCATCCCCGAGACGACATTTACGCCGCCCTCGCGGTCGAACAGCCTGCGCATGGGTGGTGGTGGTGGTGGTGCTTCGAGACCACGACTCAAGGTGCAAATCCCAGACGAGCCTTCGGACGGAGGCAGCGCGACGGCGGAATCCGGGTCCCCGCGCGGCACCTCTACGGACACTACCTCACAGCCATCGAGACGGCCGACGGATTCGCACTCGTCTGGTGTTGTGCTCCCTCCGCCATCCCCCTCCGCCTCGGCTCTCCTCTCGGCCGGTGCGACTGGCCCACCAAATCCATTTGCCCGACCGAACCCTCATCATCAGAACAACATGAACATCGATACGCCAGTCTCTGCCTTGCCGTCCCGGTTCCTGAACAATGAATTCCTCCCGAGCCCTAACGGCTTCTATTCCGACTGGAACTTCCGCGGTAGCGACAGCAACACACTGCCAAGTCCCCTAAACTTTGCGACGCCCGTCGTTGGCACAGGGCCGTCATTTCTAAGAGAGGATCCTACCCCACACAAGCGCAAGACCCCAGAAATCAGTACTAGTGGTCCGGCCCAAGAAGGCGCTGATGGGCCCAATGAGGCAAAGCGGGCCAAGATCGACTCTTAAAACCTTTCGGTGGCCCGACACGCCGGCTTCTTTTCTCCCCACGTGTTTGTTTCTACATGTACAAAACCCTCCCTCCGACCGGGCGGGACATATTCTTACCCATTCAATGTCTGTCAAGAATAGTTCATCCTTATCACTACTTTTCTGGGTCGGAATGGCTGTACCTATCAATCGCAGGATACAATTTGGGTATATTTGTCTTGCCAGGCGTCCTGGATTGGACAGGAAAACCCGAGGGAGGAGATTGGACAGACATGGGATTTGTCCACTTTCTGTGGCTCCTTTTGACGGGCACATCGCTCCCGCATGGCATGGCATGGCGTTTTTGGGGGGGACTTGTTGAAGATTATTGGGCGTTTTTGATTGGGAATAACATGGGATGAAAGGATGGATGACTGGTGCGATGCGATTACTTGTGTTGAGCAAGAGAATGGAAACGGATGGCGAACTGATATACTTGTGGGAGAGCATTGTTTCCCCAGATACCTCTAGCCCAATAATCATATGCTATCATCAGGATGAAATAGGACTCAAGCAACACACAGAGACAAAAATAGCCAAATGCCTTATAGGTACGATATCAAGTGAAGCTGCAAATCGAGAACATCGCTTGATCATTACCAAGAGTCTCGAATGCCGCATCAGTAATTAGACGTGGCTTGTCGATGATTTCGACACTCGCCTCTTGACGCCACACAACTGCCATGAATACTTCCACAACCAAATATCTAAGCGAGCCAGTGATCCCGGCGATGTATCTATAGTCTTACCAACCCTTAGAGGCCCAAGAGCGTCCTCCGCCACCAACTCTCCTGTCGCATCAGTGCATCTTGTCTAGTCCTGGCAAGGTGAAACCCGTGACCCTCCTCTCCATACACGGCCAACTCGACCAAGTCGCCAGCTTTTGGTCCAGGGGCGGTGCTCCCATCTCTGTGTCTTTTCGCGGCAGCCACAAAGTCAGTTGCCTGATCAGGGGTCACGACAGAGTCGACAGAGCCCTGTAGGAGCAAAACCGGTGCCTCGAGACGATGGGCACGCTTGATCGGACTTCTCTCGTCATATAACCCTGCAAGCGTGCCCTTCCCCCATTCATCATTTTCCGCCATCTGGTCTGTAAGAGTGCTACAACCATGTCCCTCCAACCGATCCGATCCACTCAACGATGGCCGTCCACGGACGAGCAGATAATCGTAGCAGCTCTCAAACTTGTGCGTCGTTCGGGCAAACCCGGCCACATCCGAGATGCCGAACATGCTCACGGCACCGGCCCACACGCCAGGTCTCGTGCACGCGGCCTGCAGCGTCAGATACCCGCCCGCGCTGGGCCCCGCGATGCCGACGCGCCCCGGGTCGATCAGCCGGGCTCCCACGAGGGCCGAGACGCAGTCGACGGCGTCTTGGACATCTGCCTCGCCCCAGCGCCCGTCCATGGCGTCGCGGTAGGCGTTGCCGTATCCTGTCGACCCGACGTGGTTGAGCAGGACGACGGCGTAGCCGCGCGAGGTGAAGTATTGGTACTCCAGGTTGATGCTCGGACGGTGGTGTTTGGTAGGGCCGCCGTGGGCGGCGATTATGCAGGGTGGGAGTTCGGCAGCGCTGAGAGCGTGGTCGCTATGGTTGGAGTTGGTAGGAAGCATCAGGAAGGCATGGCCTGACTTGATAGACACTGAAGAACTTGGGAATGTTACGGGGACGGGCCTCGACAGGCTGCCTTCGGGGAGGAAAGAGGTGTCGAACGACTGAGCGAGCATCGTAACCTGGCACGGGTGTCTCGATGGATGGCCAAAATCGAACTCGTCAGGGAGTTGCACGCGGTACAAGGCAGCAGCACAATCAACACCGGCACCGATGACGAGAAAATCGCGATGGCTGATGCGTTGCATGGCGTCGTACGCAATGTCGTTCAAGGCCATGTCAAGATCCACGTAGGCAGCCTGGGCGCAGTTTACGAGGGCAAGTCTGCTGCACCCTTCTCTGGTATACGATACGACCAGGTGACCCTCCTCAAGCTCCAAGTATGTGTTGCTCGACAACAGGAACTCGGCACCGGCGAGCTCGCACCGTTCCAGGCCGGCTATTCGCAGCCATTGGGGCTCCTCGCCAAGGCGGACACGGTAGAGTTGCTGGTATCCCGTCTCGTCATGGGCATAGAAGAGAGTCTCGTTCACACCCCAGCGGGGTTGCCCACAGCCGACGTGGCTGCCCACCCGGTGGACGTTGCTGAGGCCTGCGCCGGTCCAGGACGCCGTGTAGAGCCTGGCACCGGTCCAGGGCATGTGTGGAAGGTCCCACTGCAGCCAGCACACCTTGGTCCCGTCGAGGCTGAATCGCGGATGCGAGAAGAAGTCAGAGTCCTCGCGCAAGGGCCTCACGCTTTTAGCTTCCGTGTCGATGCACACGATACTGGTGTCCGGGTGCTTCTTGCCGGGCGATTTGAGCTCCCGCACGGCGAGCAAATGGCGAGGGTCTGTAGGATGAGCCGCGAGGTCTCCGTAAACGGCGTCCGGGTGCATGGTGATGGTGTCGATTGCCTCGCCATCACCAGGTCTGGCGCGGTACACTGCCTTCGTATTAGCATCGGTGAAGACGATCCAACCGTCGGCATCGACGGTGAAAGCCCCGCCTCCATAGCCGTTGATGCTGCTGCCAACATCGAACTCTTCAGCTGCCATAAATGCGTTTGGGGGGCTTCCAGCTCGTTTGATGCGTCCGCGTCCATTGCAGTCGGCTTCGAGATAGTAGAAAGCTGTGGTATTCGCCTGTCATCGCAACAAATCAGCACGAGCTGACCATAGATAGCCCCATAGGATTTCACATAATTACATCAACTCTAGGCGTGCTCAAAGATACTGTGCCATAAGCGAGAGCTTCGGCGGTAATGGGACTTTCCCAGGTGCCATAGGGAGTGGATATTGGATCCATTCAGACCTAATAGAAACAATGTCGAAGCCGACGATGAGCGATATTGAGACACTAATAAGCTCAAGTGTAAATTCTGGGGCCAACCTGCTTCAAATTGTATTCCTGGTCAGAACCTCCAACGCATTTCGGAACTCGGAGTTCGTTGGGTCCCTTGACATCTTTTACGTGGACAACTCCGGCAACTAGGGAATCATCACAGAGGGCACAGCTCATATAAATGTGGCTTGCGCTGGTTATGCAAATTCGACGTGCTTTTTTATATGTCCGCCCTTGTCCTCATCCTTTTCAGAGCCACTATGCGAAATATATCCAATTTATCTGGGGCCAAACCGTCCTAAGCCATCTAGGTTCCAAACGAATTAAAGTCTAGAAACGCAATGTGATCTGCGCCGAAGCCGTCCATGCTATCACCAAGAGTACTCTCATCGAAAGTCGTCCTGGACATGATCTCATCGAAGGCGTTCATCATGTCCATGTCGCCGTTGCCGGAGAAGTCTTCTGCATTATTAAAAGCTGCGGGAGGGGTAGAGACAGGGGATCTTGTGGCCGGGGCAGTGCTCATTCGCGCATTCAGAGCCTGATCAAGTGTGTCCGACAGAAGCTTGCTACCTCTCTTGCAGAGAGGGTAATTACCTTCGTCGGACTGCACAATCCCGTCAAGATCGGATGCTAACGCGCTGAGCTGGCGGTACAGTTCTGACCAGGGCATCGGACGCATTGTTTTCTGTCCGAGCTCTGCACTTCTCTTGAGTGCAGCTGCGAGGATCATGGCGCTTGGAAGACCGTAGAATAATAGCTGAGCACAGGTCAGAATGACGAGGGAAGAGAAGACGCCCGAGTACTCGCAGTTTCTTACAGTCCAGACGTAGTCTGTGTATGCGCCGGATTTGATCAACAACTGCCGTGACGAGTTCACCGTGGTCGACAGTAACGACGTCGCAGCCACCAACAGACCTGTGTCATCCCGGTTTGTGACGATGTGAAGCAGCTTCTCGATGTGAAAAATGAGGTCTAGATACTCCAGATGAAGAACCAGCAGCATGAAGCAAATGCTGCTTGATGGATTGGAATTCCAACAACTGGCATCGTAGTGTAGGTACCCAGGGATCCCGTCCCAGGAGTTGTGTACTCGTTGAGATATTTGTCTGGGGCCATGTCAGAGTACGTGGTTACATGTTGGTCAGCTAATTTGGAAAGGGGGTAGCCTCACCCGAGGACGAATACGGCTTTACTGTCGGCGTTTCTAACCCCAACTTGTATATGGAGTATCTCCTCTCTGAAAATGGAAAACATGGAACGAGCCCGTAGCCATGCAGTGGTATGGAAGTCTACCTCTCTGCTCCAGCCATCTTTTTCGAGAGAGTCAATGGCTGCACGTCGAGTTTGTTCGGAAGCCATCAGCTGCTCGTCATGCAGGTGCAGGGGCAGTCTCCTATTGCAATAGTGCAGGGGCAATCTTGGCGGTCTCCCGAGGGCGTTCGACAAGGACTTGTCAATCCAATACGCAGATGCAAAAACTCGAGCCCGTATCTCATCGAGAAACATTGGTCTCTGAGAGGCGTCTTCCGGCTCGCGGTGGAAATGCAGAGCAAACACGTCGTTGAAGAGCTCTCCAGAGCGGTGCCAAGTGCGACGGCCTGCAAAGATGTGGTCAACAGAGCTCATGCGAGATTGAATTTAAAATCCGAGAAGGCGCTTGAATACTTGTATTTCCCCAGAAATTCATTGCGAGGGTCAGATTTTCTGATCTCAGCCAGACCATGACATCGTTGACATTGAAGTACTTGTCGCACAGTGATATACATGTGTCACTGGCAGATAGCATATTCGTGGCAAAAGTGTTGCGATCTGCCTTGGTGAACTTGACCGTCAGGAACAGAGTATCAGTGGCCGGGATTTGGAGTGCCGCCAATCCTGCGGTGCTGAGCAGCAGGCCGATTATCTCCAGCCTCATGTTTGAGCCGGTGAACAACTTTGGAAAATCCGAAGGCTGGGTGTCGGCCGGGACCGAGAACGGCTTCGACGTCGCACTTAGGATATCGGCAGCTAGCCTACCTGCCTCGAGGAAGTCTTGGTTGAAGCGACGGGCGGCCAACCTGAGAGATGCAAGTGCCTCGTGAAGGAACACACCAGGAAAGAGGCATGTCTGACTAATCTCATACCAGCGACGAATAAGCTTGGAGATGAGGTCTAATTCGGATAGGTGTGAAAGGACTTCTTTTAGTTGGATCTCGACTCCGGGCCCCGTTAGGTTCGCCGACGGCGTCTCAGGTGACAGAGGGTCGGAGAAAGCACTGTGGGGCCGGACAATCGTATCGATCAAGCTGGCGGGACTGATAAGCTCTGGGGTAGATGACGGGGTTGTCGGGGTGGGCGGGTCATTGCCGTGGAGAGCATTGGCAGTGAAAATAATGCTTGAAGCCACAGCAGCATGGCGCTCCAAGCTGCTGTTGGTCCTATTGAAGGTTGCATTAGGTTGGCTATGAGCTGGAATTCCAGTTCCACGCTGTCGGTAAGGACTTGCATGACAACTTACGTATTGGGAGTCTGGAAAGAAGAGCTATGCAAGCTGCTGCCGCTGACTTTTATCCTCGATTTGTTCGATTGAGTCAGTGGTGCGGGGTGGTAGTAACACTCGTGGGCAATCGCCTTTGCTTGGCATCTCCCACAGACGGGAATCCTGTGGTCGCAACGCGTTTTGATTTTCCGACAAGGCTCGCATGATCGTGGCTTGCCATTCCGGCGGTTGATATTTCTGTGGCCAGCAAGTCAGCAAAGATAGCGCCGACGCGGAAGCACTGGAACTGCCTCTAAATATCCATTCCGGGAGTTTGTTATCTCACATTATGTCCAATTGCTCTCTTCGATCGAGCGGCGCCGCAGTTTCCATCACCACTGATACGAAGTTGGGATAGCTCTAGGCCACCGTGTGTCACTCGCCTAAGACGCTAAGACGGGCTGAGGCGCTAAGCAGGGGTTGGCACGCTCGGAAAGCGGCTAACTGATAAGTTAGGCCCAACACCACAGCGTAAACCGGGAAGGTACTTATAGTTTGGCACTAGAAGCCGGGCTTTCCCGCCCGTTGCTTGCAGCGCCAAGAATGATGCAAACGAAGCCCATTAAGAGAGAACCACCACATCACGCCCACGACCCTCCTCGTGTAGATGGACATTTACGGATACGCCAAGATGCACAAATCTTTGTTGGTGCTTGGCCAGCTCCTACTCTGGCGTCATCGTCCAAACAGGAAGGAGCAAAACTGCCCCTCTATGACATTGCCACTCGCGGCAACAGGTCGGTGCAAGAGCCCTGTTTCCTCACATGTTACTCGCTGACATCCGACAGGATCTGCGGTGTTGCTGACTTGCAGCAAAAGGGATACGGATCTAGCTCAAGAGGTGTTGCTGTGCCGCAGGCTAAGGCGAGACTAATATACCCTGAGAACCTGCGCTGCTGCATAATCCTGTTTCGGGATACTTGTACGTGTCAAAGCCGGTGAAGTCGGAGTTTCCATTTGCACCACTTCATCGACTCTTTCACCTCTCACACGGTGCTTCTGATCTTCACCTCTAGGTGCGGCGTTCGCGACCGTCTTTTATCCCGAACTCCCCATAGGTTAGGGGGCCGGGACGTGGGACGCGGCCTGAGGGTGCCTGTCATGCTATTAGGTCTTTGAGCCCCTTGATTTCGGCCGGCCTGGAAGCTTGAAGGGCAGACTCGAATCGTCACCAAATCCTTCGAAACGTCTGGCTGTACAGATTTTAAAATGGGGGAATCATCAGAAGCTCTGGTGTCCGACACTCACCTTGCGGAGTTGAGATCAGAGGACGGCTCAGGTACTGTGCATAAAACGCAAGGCCCATGCTTGATGTCTTCTAATAGTTAACCGGTTGACACAGTCGTGGTTCGGGCAGCGTGGTCGTGGAGCCAGGATCGCTCCACTGCAACCAGATACGGAAGCAATTTTGTCGATTTCGTCATCGAGTCGTTTTATGTGACACCCGGTGCAAATGCCGGAGCAGAGGCCATGCACAATTGCGGCGAGTTCAACTCTCTCATTTCTCAACCTGCAGGCGGCCAAGCCACCGAGCCGGTCGAGATTGCAACCCCTTGCAAGGCCCTGTACTTCATCTGGCAGGCGCTCCTCAAGCCCCCTGACGCCCCTCAACCTCGGCCAATGAAGTTTATCCTGCCCCCGGAGGATGGGTACATTGTGAGAAACGACTTCGTCGAGGAGATGATGCGCGGCTGTCAGCTTACCCTCGAGGCGCGGGGTTTCATCGGGCCTCGTCAGCATTGCGCGAGTGCTCACCCAGCAAGCACCGACGGATCTGCCAGCAACCTGCTTCACCTCCTCCAGAGGAGCGTCGGGGTCGTCGTGGCAAAGGATGGTAGCGCTCTGAAGCTGCTCAAGGATGAATTGGTGAACCGCATCTCGTGGCCATGGCTCGTTCCCACTCCTATCGAGCCGACGCGCATTGTCGTCATCGGCGAGAAGCGAGAGCGGCGGTTCTGCGAGCGCTTCTACGATGCCGCTAAAGCATGCGGAGTCTCGGTGATTGTCATGGACAAGCCCGGCCATTGGCTACAAGATCCGGCAGGAATGGGTGCCAGCTACAGGGAGGATTTTGTGCCGTTTACCGGCTTCACGTTTGATGACCTGCCGGAGCGCATCGTGCAGGCCATCCGCAGGCTCCCCTATCAGGTCGACGGCATCATGACCACCATGGATCCCCTGCTGTCTGGTGTCGCCCGTGCCGCAGAGATGCTTGGACTGCCGGCAGCTCCCGCCGAATCCTACCGCCGTGCAACCGACAAGTACGAGACCAGACGGCTCCAGAAAACGGCCACCACCCTGACAGTCGCAAGCCTTGAAGATCTCGCATCGCATCTGGAATCACTGCCGGAACCCCTGCGATATCCGCTCATTGTCAAGCCTACGCGGAGCCACGGCTCCTTTGGTGTGTCCAGGGTCGAAAACGAGTCTGAGCTGGTCGATGCCGTGCGTCATGCCCTGTCTTCCGCCGCGGACCAGCACAGACTATTCGGGTTGCGGACTTCCGACGCAAAGGCCATCGTAGAGACGTATTGCGAGGGCCCAGAGGTCGATGTAAACTTTGTTCTCTGGAACGGCGAGCTACTCTTCTCCGAGGTCGTCGACAACTTTCCGTGCTCTGGCGACAGTGCACTGACTTCGTCCAAAACTGAGCAGTTCGTCGAGACAGGCTCGGCATGGCCATCTGGTCTGCCCCAGGACGAAAACAAGATGCTCCGTACCGACCTGTTGAAGATCGTAAGGCAGCTCGGTTTCCACAGTGGCGTCATCCATGTCGAGGCCAAGGTCCAGAATTCGGCCGTCGAATGGCACATGGATGATGACGGCGTGCTTGACCTACAGGCCCGGACGGGAGCAACCGCTCATGGCGCAAGCTCCTTCCTGCTAGAGGTGAACCCCCGGCCACCCGGCCACACCGACTCGATGGGCTCGGCCTACGTCAACGGTGTGGACTACTATGCCCTGCATATCATGCACACCATTGGAGACGAGGCCCGCTTCTGCAGCCTGGCAGGGGGCTTTCGAGTCGGGCCGCAGTACCACTACGCCACTTCCCCGCTGCCCATCCATTCTGCAACGGGTGGGCGCATGCCGTGTGACCTGAACCTTGAGGACTACGGGCTCGCCAAACACACCGTCATGCTTCGTCCATTTTTCAAGGCTGGGGACACAGTCCCATCGCCTGAAGATCTGCGGTTTCCTTGGTTGGGATTTGTGATGCTCTGCTCGACAACGAGCCGCCGGGATCTGCTGGAAAAAGTCGCAATTGCCCGTGACAAGATTGTGATCAAACTAGAACAAATGTAGCTGATATCGTTCATCTAGATAGACTGTAGTCTGTTTGTGCATATGCACTACCTGTGTTGAACAGGGCAAAGTACTGGACTCTGCCCTGGTAATGCAAGATAAGACAAACAAGGCAGGGAACTACACGAGCAGTACACTAGCCGGTTGATCAGTCAGATCAGTCGGAGAATCAAAGATCTAGGCCTGGTGCTATGCCATTTCATGAGATCTACGGTCGGAGCTACGTTGTGCATACCTTCCTAATTAGGGTGAGCCTCTCTACGGCGGGCGGAGTCGAATTGCCGGGGCACGAGGGGCCTCTAACAATTCCGCCGACAATGGCTACAACGTACCCAACTCAGTGATGTTGTAAAATTTGATTCTGTTGAATGGTTTGATTGTTTGACTCCAATAACCTGCAGCCGCGTCGCTAATAGAGGCTCTCGTTGGTAAGCTCCCGAAGGGGAGCTTCGCAAATCCGATTTTTGACGAGATGATAAGAGAATTGTTAAGTTTGTTATCTTACATCATCCCCCGTGGCCAAATTGGCTAAGGCGTACGACTGTTAGTAATCCACTCTTAATCGTAAGATTCCTGGTTCGATCCCAGGCGGGGGAGTTCTTTTTCTTTTTCTTTTCTTTTATTTTAGTCTCCAGACTGGATAATAAGAGAATTAATAAAGATGCTATCGGACATAATCCCCCGTGGCCAAATTGGCTAAGGCGTACGACTGTTAGTAACTCACTCTTAATCGTAAGATTCCTGGTTCGATCCCAGGCGGGGGAGATTTTTTTTTCCTTCATTTTTTTTTTCCCTTGTCTTTTCTTTCCCTATCGTCTCATTATTTTTGGACCTCAATGTCTGCGGGGCATGGAGGCGAGGCAACAGCACCAGCTTGTAATTACATCTAATCTGTTGGCTATTCCTTCGGTGTGATTCGCTTCAACGTCTTCGCTAGTGGACCAAAAAGAACATGACCATCATGGTATCTGGTGCCATGCATGTGCTATGAGTAAATGCCGGTGACGACGCGTTGTACATGATCAGTATGCACGGTCACCCCCCCTTTTACCCCTTTTCTGTAATTATATATGCATGCACTGCTGCATGGTCCTTTTCCGGCAAAGAGGTATATCCAAACTTTTATTACATATGCAGTGTTACCCATAGAATACGTCCTAATTACCCACTTCTAGTCTCTTCTCAACTTGAAGATAAAATCTTGACTTTAACGGGCAGCAGATCTTCTGGCGATCCGGGCCAGCAATCGCCCGTGTTCCGGTTCAGGGCTTCGAACTCGAACTGCGAGAAGACGGCGGCAAGGATGTAGCGCATGGCTGTCACAACCCAGTCTGGAGTCAGCAATATTGTCTTGTCGTCATCATTATGCGAGGAGAGAAGGGGATCTGCTGATTGTCCATCTCACCGTAAAAGGTCCAATTGGTGCCCAAGCACACTCTAGGCCCGCTCGCAAAAGCCCACAGCACATCTTCCCTCCCGCCCTTCTTGCCGGACTCGTCACGCCCCAGCCACCGCTCTGGGATCCAATCGTCGACCCTGTCCCACTTCCTGGGGTCCCGGTGCACGAACCATTGGAACGCGTTGACCCGCGTGCCGGGCGGGATGTTGTCCACGCCCATGAGCGAGACGCAACGGTCCGGCGGCGTGGTGCGCGGCAGCGGCGTGCTGGTGGGCCGCATCCGCAGAGACTCGTTGATGACGGCGTCCAGGTACTTGACCTTGTCCAAGGCGGTGGGTATCGAGCCCGACAGGTTGGTGGACACATCTGCTGCTGGCGTCGGTCTGCTCGTCATGTCGATGCCGGACGCAGTGAGTTCGTCGCGGAGGCGTTTCTGTGCGTACGGGTGTTGGGCCAGATACCAGAAGGTATAGGCAAGAACGAGACCTGTCCAGGCCCAGGCATAAGCATCTATTCACTCATATCACCCAAATAGGGGGTTTGCATCACATCAATCACGTACCTAGAACTTCCCGTGACGCAGCTTTGTCGCCCCAAGTCCGTCAGTACTTGCAAGTTTTGTAGGAGTGGTGCAGTTGGTATTAATAGACGTACAAATGTGATCAAACATTTCACTTGCAACTTCATCATGCTTGGCTTTTGCGTCCAAATGCGGCGAATCTTTCTCCACGGCCGACTTGGCGGTCTCGTAGACAACAGGCCGATCTTCGGGCGCCATAAGTTGGTCCATGTCTCTATGCTGGCGTATAGTCTCGTCCGCCTTCAGGGCCATGTTCCCCATCCATCTCTCGAGGAAGTTCTTGGACTCCCCGTACCGCTTAGGAAGCAAGTCGATCCCAATCGTTTTTAAAAGCCCGTACGCAAAGGGCATCTCTTGTGGGAAAAAACTCTCGTGGCACATGTGGTTCTCGTAGTGGAGTCGCCACTCATTGATGCGTTTCTGGTCCTCGGTCAGGTAGTTTGTTCCGTTGCCGTAGCCGAAGAGAAATGCGCTGATGTAGTCGGAGCAAATGCAGTAGCTCAATTCAAGCGCATCGATCCCGCCCCCCCATGCGGCGGCGCTGCTGAGTCTTGGGGCCAAGCGATCGTACATAACCCTGATGCTGATGTTATGCATCTGGTGAGATCCTAGTAGAGCAGACTTGGAGTATAGCGCTGCGGTTCTCCGTCGGCGAAGCCCATGCTCTCTGCTGTCGAGGCTTGTGAATGCATTCTTGGACCTTTTTGCAAAGTTAGCAAGCTTGTTGTCAAGTGAAGCATCTGGGACTTGAAATTAGTAAGTAATTTGGGGCGAACCTACCCATAGTAGTTGAAGGAGGCATAAAAGGGGGCAGGCTTTCCAAATCCTGCGTCGTATACTTTGCGAATCCCATCCTGGTATGAGCTTACGCTGAGGTCTTTTGGGCCTATCTGGACTATAGGTCCATACTTCTCATGGGCTTTGACTAGATGAGCAAGTTCGGTCCCAGTGTACCTCACCCAAAGCGACCAGATGGGGCTGAACCTCGAAGACCAGTGTGACGCTGGTATCTTGGATAGCGGTGAAAAGAAAGTCTGATATCCGATGTAACCAGATAAGAGTGCGAGCAAGAGGAAACCAAGCTCCAGTAACGCGGTGTTGCTCATGGTGCGAGAGTAAAGCAACAGATGTCAAGTGTTATCAAAACTTGACACAGATAGGCAGGAAAACTATATGCCCAATAATTAACAAAACACTTCCGATGTGGGACACTGGATTCTCGGCGAGTCTGTTTATGAGCGAATGTGCATGTCAGTCATGACGGTTGTCATGTTGAGTTCGACATCTATTTGGAAGCAATCCATCCCGCTGTCAAGAAACATGCCATCAAAGTCCGTCCTGAATTAGAAGCCCCGAGATTCTCCATTCCCACTTCCCCCAACTCCGGGAGCTCCAGGAGGTCGACAATTTTCAACACAAGGTATCATTTGTTCAATGCTCACACCCACGCCGACGACTTCAACGCCCATCAACGATGTTTTTGGAGGAGTTCATTAACTCCGCGGTACGCTCAAGAAGCAGCTCACATCTACGAGTTTACTATCAACGCCGGTCACCTTTGAGATGCCGGCGTGCGTGTCTACCAGGGGCGAGTAAATTGATCACCATTGCTCATGTCCAACGGAGTGACGAGAAGCTTGGATCTTACGTCGGATATCCGAAGTAACCCAAGCACTCCGTAGCTGGCCTTACTAAGTCTCTGTGTATGACATCTTTTGAGATTGTCCTATCGAATGAGAAACGAATTTGCCAGCATAAATGGTGGCTTAATTGGCAGTCTTTGATTACGGTTGATGACCCGAAGATCTGTGTGTAACCCTGTCACCTAGTTTTTAGACTTGATGATGTCGTTATTTCCCTACACGTAAACTGGCAGATCAATCCGCCAACCCTGACTGCCTCTACGACTTTCTCCGGACTCCGACGCTTGCCCCGGAGTTCAAATCCGGCGTGCCATGTCAGCCAACGCCGCGCAGCGCAAGAATTAACCTGACGTTGAAAGCTGCCTAGACATACAGGATTGTGAGTGCAGAAACAGCAAATAATATGATTTCCAGCTTTGGTAGCCCTCCCCACAATCCTCGATCGCCTTCCGCCCCCACCCCTTTTTCAACCCCCTTTTTTATCTTCATTTTCATTTTCAAAGCAAGAAGAAAAGCAGACACCCTTGTCATGGTGCCATTGCACGATGCCATTGCATAAACCTTCGAGCACACCATGGGAATCAGAGAAAAGGAGGACGAACGTGGTTGTCATCGGGTCTGTTTTTGAAGAATTGTCTCCTTCTGTCTGATGCTAATGACCTGAGGGCACAGAGCTGGTGTCGTCGGCTTGACAACCGCACTGGTTCTTTCCAGGAGCCCCAGCCTCAGAGTAACGATCGTCGCCGAACATTTTCCCGGCGACAGCCATCCCATGTACGCATCGCCATGGGCTGGTGCCAACTATCTGCCGTATGTCACACTTCCGACGGCAGTAGCAATCTCAAACTAACCGACTTATGTCAAGATTCTCGCAGCGCGGGACGCTAGAACATAGCTTGGAACGCGATACCTGGTTACCGCTGGCCCTGCTTGCATCTGAGCTCCCTGAGGCTGGGGTTCACTTTCAAGGTACGGGTTGCAACCCTGGCGCGTGGGAATTGTTGCTAACAGAGGCAACCATCCAGATGTCATACTCTACACTCGTCAACAGGACGTAGCACGGGGTCTGGACTCGTCACTATTGTCCAACCTGCACTCGCCTGACCCTTGGTTCAAAGACATGGTCCCAGATGTAAGACGCCCAGGATTGCATGCCTTTATATTTTCATACAAGAGATCTCGCAGCACTAATGGCTCATCTGTGACCAGTTTCGGCTTCTGGACCCAACATCTGATGACCCTCCCGATACGGCATACACTACCCGGTTCAAATCCGTGTGTATAAACCCCGCCATCTATCTCCCTTGGCTCCACGGCCAATGCCTCAAGCGTGGTGTCCGTGCGAAACGGGCCACTTTGGCCCATATTCATGACGCAGCTGCAATGTTCAGCAACACAGACACGGTCGTGAACTGCACCGGTCTGGGCGCTTGTTCACTTGGTGGTGTGAAGGATGAAACCATGGTACCGATCCGCGGACAGACGGCACTCGTTGCACAAGAGGCTTCCCACATGCTCACCGTTTCTGGGTCAGAGGACGGGAACGACTCAGAGCTGACGTACGCGATGAAGAGGGCAGGAGGGGGCGGCACAGTGGTAGGCGGGTGCTACGCGCCAACGGCCTTTGAGGATATCAAGAAGGCGGCCGCTCCGGACGATCACCTTGCACGGCGCTTTCTGCATCGGTGGGTAAAATACGACAAGGTAATGGAAGGAGTTGGGCTGGCGGACGTGATAGAGCACCGTGTCGGATTCAGGCCATCTCGAAAAGGCGGCATCAGACTGGAACCAGCCATCATTGATGGGTTGAAGGTTGTGCACTGCTATGGGCATGGAGGCTACGGGTATCAGACTAGTTGGGGGTGCGCAGAAAGGGTGCGACAAATAGTGGTAGACGAGGTAAAAGGGACCAAGCATTCACACAGGCTCTCCCGGCTGTAAGCATAGATAACATTTATGTGAGCTCCTCGAGTCCTTGGAGATAGCTGCCCACCCGTAATTTTCAAAAAAAGACACACAAATGCAGGTAGAGTGCAATTCGGGTCTAACTGATCAGCCAGGAGATCGATGGCCTGCGTGGGTATGCCACATATTAAAACCTATTTAGGTAAAAACTCGAAGGGATCATTGTGCACGGGTCAACCCCTTTTACCCCCTTTTTACCCCTTTTAATCACCATGGCCAATGTCATTATGTAAGCACCAGTTCTACGTCTGTATACCTACGTCAATAATCTCGAAATGCAATTGGCCTGGCACGTTCCGTTACGGGTTAGAAATGATGACGCCGGGCGGCTGACAGATCAGAAATGGTTGCATAGATGGGTCACACATCTAGTACATTTGAACTCCGATACTTATGCACACCGGAGTTCTCGCCTTTACAGCATGCATGGTCACGGCATGGGCATGGTCACCACTGAATTCCCACCTCCGGCCGAATTATGGCCGCCGCGACGGGGCTTTCTTCGATGCAGTGGTGATGACAGCGGAGGCTTTCGCCTTAGACCCTGGATTTCACATTATAGCGACAAGATGATTGTTATAACCCTCATTGGGTGCCTTGAAAAAGGCACCCATGAGCCTGCCCAAGGCTTCGCGGTTTGGCCAGGTGACATACACCACTCACAATGGAGGCCGACTTGCCAATCCACAACACGGAGGGGACAATTATCGATCGCTTTCTCGCCAACGCTTCCTGCAGGCACGACGCGCCGCTGGCCATCTGCACTCATGACGTTGCCCTGACATACCCTCAGCTAGACCAGTACTCGCTCAGGCTGGCGAGGCTGCTTGTCCACAAGGGGTTCAAGAAAGAGGACATCATACTCTGCCGCTTTCGCAAATCACCCTGGGCTGTCGTCTGCTTTGTTGCAATTCTTCGCGCCGGCTTGGCCTTCACACCCGTTGATATCTCGTATCCAGCCTCCCGAGTGCATCAGATCGCCAGCCAGACTGACTCGAAGTTGATTCTCGAATCGGAATCAGACCTGGAATGCCCCTGGGGCCTTGAGGCCTTGTATATCGACGAGCGCTTTTTTGAGGAACTTCGAGACAATGTCAATATCGCAACACCAGATATTGACGGCCATGACTTGGCCTACGTGTACTTCACTAGCGGCTCGACTGGGCAACCTAAAGGAGTCATGGTCGAGCACAGAGCAATCTACACGAGCCTGGTCGCCCATGGACGACGCCTGGGCATGAACGCGGCATCTCGCGTTTTACAAGCCACATCGTACACTTTCGATCCGTGTCTGACAGAGATCTTCGCCACGCTCATCTATGGCGGCTGTATATGTGTACCCACGGACTTGAGTCGACTTGCTGAGTCCATCAACACGCTCTCGGTGAGTTAGACGCTGTGACGTGGCACATTCAGTTGGTTTTGCTGTTCTGACTCCAACCAGGTCAACTGGGCATTCTTCACACCTTCAACCATCTCACTTCTCGATCCCGACGAAGTCCCTCTCTTGCAGACGGTGTCAGTTGGTGGAGAGGCACTCACGCAAGATTGTGTCGACACATGGGCCTCCAAGGTTCGGCTTTTCAACAGTTATGGGCCCACCGAGGCTTGCGTGTTTTGCTGTATCGCCTCTACCGAACCGCAATCGTCGCGCGCCAACATTGGCTATGCCACAGGCTGTCGCGCATGGATTGTAGACCCGAGAGATCACAACATCCTATGCGAGGTTGGCGAAGTGGGAGAATTGGCCATTGAAGGAGAGATCCTTGCCCGCGGCTACCTCGGCGATCCACAAAGGACAGCAAAGTCATTCGTGACGTGGGCTGGCGAGCTCTGCCAAGGTGCTGCCCCCAGGAGACTTTACAAGACAGGAGATCTGGCACGATTTGAGCGGGACGGCTCGTTATCCTGTCTTGGTCGAAAGGACAGACAGGTGAAAATCCGAGGTCAACGAGTCGAACTTGGAGACATCGAGAGCCATATAATGCAGCATGGACGCGGCAAGATCCAGACGGCCGTGGTGGAATACGCCAAGAGAAACAACACCGACCATCTCATCGCGTTTCTCGTGTTGGAGCTCTCCGATTGGAAAGCCAGCTTGCAGGAACGTTGGGATGCTTTGCGCGACGAGCTCGAATCGAATCTATTACAGAGTCTCCCATCTTACATGGTGCCCAGCCACTTCGTTCCCATGACGACCTTGCCCAAGACCACCTCTGGGAAAGCAGATCGGGCTTTATTGCTCAAGACGTTCGACGAAGAGTATTTGGCTCGCATCCAAGAAGGCCACGCAGAAAGCATCACTGGATACAGTCAAGAACTGGATCCTGTACAAGATGCCATCAAGGCCGAGGTGGCTCGGGTTCTTTCCTTGTCTCCCTCGACTGTCGATCTATGCCTCGGCTTTCTTCAATTGGGCGGCAACTCTCTCCTCGCCATCAAACTTGTCGCGCGTCTCCGGAAGTTGGATTTTCAACTGGCCACAAAAGATGTCTTACTGGCCGAGTCTCTCGTGATTTTGGCCACTCAAGTGAAGAAATCAGCCAGCAAGGGTGTCGCGGAAACAGCAGGACCCCAAAGGAGCGACACGCACACCTCTACACCGCACCATCTACGTGATCTGAAGCCTTGGGCCGCATATCACATCGGTGTTTCCACCGAGGCTATCCAAAGCCTGCATTCATGCACCCCCTTCCAGGAGAGCCTGATGCCGTCGTTGGCACGTCACCCGTGCACTTATGTCGCACAGTACTCGTTTGAACTTCCCGGCAACGTGAAAATAGACCAATTCAAGTCGTGCTGGGACTCAGCCTATCAAGGGTTTCCCATCTTACGGTCTCGCTTCCTTCTGGCACCAGAGAATGGACCCGTGCGCGTGGTTGTCGATGAAGAAATTGTGTGGCTCGTCCAAGACGACGAATTTAGCCATACCCAATGTCAGGAGATGATGGATAGTCTCACGGTTGGAAGTACGCTTTCTGTCTTTGCACTTCAAGTCTCCAATGGTCGCTATCGGTTTATCCTGACACTGCACCATCTCCTGTTTGACGAGTGGTCGCTGCAGCTTTGCCTCGACCACGTCGCTCAACTATACAATGGCACGTCACCACAGATTCACCGAGGCGCTTCATTCGATCCGTTCGTGGACTTTTCCATCGAGGCTGCCAGGAGCACGGTGTCCAGGGATTTCTGGCTTGCCCACCTGAGCAACTTCTGTGCAGGGCCGTTTCCAAGGCTTCCGTCTCCCGACTATCAGCCGATGCTGAGGGACTCGCGAAAGATCAGAGTGGAATATTCGGCCAGCTCTGTTCTAATACGAGCCTCTCTCGCTCTCGCCATAGGCGCGTACACCGGCTTGCATGACGTTTGTTTTGGTACCGTGATGAGTGGACGCGATGCGGCCATGCCCTTCGTCGATGAAGTCGTCGGCCCTACATTAGCGACGGTTCCCGTTCGGATTGCCTGGGACCCAACACAGACGGTTGCCGACTTCGCGGGTGTGGTGAAGACTGGACAAGAATTGGCATCCCCGCATGAGCATCTCGGTCTTCAAAACATCCGAAAGACCTGTACCGGTGCCGCCAACGCGTGCGAGTTCCAGACCATGCTCGTGATTCAAGCCCCGTCGCCGAGAGACAAGACGGACGACTTATTCGGCGCCCGGACAGAAACTGAGAATCGAGACTCGCATGCTCTAGTTCTAGAATGCACAATGGCGCTAGGGTCCTTGACCATTGAAGCTCGTTTCGACACCTTCGCTATTTCGACGACTCAATGTGAGCGTCTTTTGGGTTTATGGACTCACATATTAGAGCAACTGTTGAGCCTGGATCCCCACACGCGATTGGTATCCCTGCGTGGAATCAGCAACCAAGACCTGGACACCCTTGCCCTGTGGAACGAATCGGTTCCGCCGCTGGCATTCGGGTTTGTTCATGATGGTTTAGCAGCTTGGGCCCGAGTCCAGCCGAACGAGGTAGCTCTTGATTCATGGGATGGCTGTCTCACTTATCTGGAGCTTGATGGCATTACCTCGAGACTTGCTGCTCTCCTGGTGGCATTCAACCCCAGCAAGATCATCCCGTTGCATTTCCCCAAGGGCCTCCCCATGGTGGTTGCGATATGGGCGGTCTTGAAGTCTGGCCGAGCTTTCCTCTCACTCGACATAGAAGCACCCGCAGACCGAGTCGCGAGCATCATAGAACAACTGGACAACCCCCTTGTCCTTAGCCATGACGCGAAAGCCATGAAGGCCCTACTTCCTGTCCACTGCTGGACAGTGAATCGGGCATTCTTGGCTCAACTACCAAGAATTCCTCGGAAATGGCGTGCCCCTCGCGTTTCTCCTCATGACCTTGCATACCTGATCATGACGTCCGGATCTACTGGCCGTCCCAAAGGCGTCATGATTGAACATGCGTCCATTATGACAACCGTCGTGTACAGCGGGCCCTGCTGGGGCATCAAGCGGTCCTCGCGCATGCTCCAATTTGCGTCGGTCGCCTTCGACGCAGCCGTCATGGACATGATGGCGGCAGTGGTGCACGGTGCCTGCTTGTGTGTGCCGGAGCAGGTGACGAGGTTGGATTCGCTGACGCAGTTCATGAAGCGGAAGAGGGTCAACTGGTCCTTCTTCACGCCATCATTCCTGCGGCTGATCAAGCCGTCGGAGCTGCCAGACCTGGTCACGGTAGTTGCGGGAGGCGAGGCACTGACGCACGAAGCCGCCGAAAGCTGGGCTGCGAGTGTCCACCTCGTCAACGCGTATGGGCCCAGCGAGTGCGCCATCACCTGCGCATCCACGCCCGTCGGCAGCGACTGCGCCAACATCACGTCAATCGGGAGGGCCGTTGGCTGCGCTACGTGGATCGTTGATCCTGAGGATCATGACCGCCTCATGCCGATTGGCGCCGTGGGTGAGCTGCTCATCGAGGGTGCCATCGTTGGGCGTGGCTACTTGGAGGACAGCGAGAAGACGGCGGCTGCCTTCATCTCGGCACCTTCGTGGGCCAGCCAATTTCGCAGAGACTTTGCGCGCATGTATAAAACAGGTGATCTGGTCCGCTACGACAACAGTGGCTGCCTCGTGTATGTGGGTCGCAAAGATAATCAGGTCAAGCTTCGAGGACAACGACTCGAACTTGGCGAGGTTGAGCATCACACCGGGGTAGCAGCCTCTTCCCGTCCGGCTTTGTGCTTCGTGCCCAAGAAAGGACCGCTCGCCCGGAGGTTGGTCGCAGTTCTCGGCGCCGGGCCCAGCAACGTCGTGCCAACGTCTGTATTTCGACCGGTTGCGCTCGAACCGGATGATGCAGTCCATGCCGACATCCGGTCGGTTCGAGATGGCGTTTCGAAGACACTGCCGAGATACATGGTCCCGGAGAGAATTGCCATCTTGCATGACATGCCCATCACTATTTCGGGGAAGTTGGATCGCAAGGCCGTTGCTGCTTGGATTGACCAACTTGCCGAGGGAGTTGAACGCCTCTTCTCCGCGGGAGAAGGGGAAGGGGGTAGTGGCAACACCGCCCACGCAACACCTACCAATGCCATCGAGGCAGCTCTGCAGAATGTCTGGGCCGCTGTTCTTGGTATGCCCTTGGACAAGGCCGGGACAAATCACTCGTTTCAAGCTCTCGGAGGAGACTCGATAACCGCCATGCAAGCAGTCGCTCGAAGTCGAAACAGGGGGCTCGAGATTGACATCAAGCACCTCCTTCGGGGCGACACTATCCAAACCCTTGCAACCATGGCCAGACCCAGACCCGACATGGAAATGCCGCTCAACAAGCGACACCGTGTTATCGATCGGCCCTTCGCTTTATCTCCAATCCAGAGAGCCTACGTTGCCCTGGCTCCGGCAGACAAGGCCCACCACTTCAATCAGAGTCTCCAGGTCCGATTACGACGCCCAATTTCCACGCAAGCGCTTTCCGATGCTATGAGGGCCGTGGTTGGGCGGCATGCATCGCTGCGCACGAGATACCATCTGTCCACTCCCGGCGCATCGACCCAGCGCGTCACTCAAGTTATTGAAGGCTCGTTCACGGTATCCTCAAGTCGTGCTGTTGAAGCGGCGTGCGTCACGCGGCTGCTGCAAGCCATCCAGATGATACCAGACCCAACTGCTGGCCCCATCATCCACTGCGAGCTCGTCTACGGGCCCGACGACCTACAGCGCATCATTCTCGTGGCACCTCATCTGGCGGTAGACATTGTCTCCTGGAGGCTCATCTTGGAAGATCTGGAAGGTGTCCTGGAAGGAAACTCGCCGGAATCACGCCCACCAGAGTCATTCCAAGAGTGGTGTGAGAGTAAACTGCTCCATTCCCTTCCGAAGCTTGACTTGCCCCCGCCACGATACGACTACTGGGATGTTGATCCTGCCACCCTCACCTATGAAGGTGTCGCACGAGAGTCGTTCTTGCTCGACACGGATACGACTGCCTCGTGCCTTGGGAAGAGCAACGAATGTTTGCGCACAAAGCCCACGGATCTATTCATTGCTGCTCTCATTCTGGCCTTCCAGATGACATTCCATGACCGGAGCCCACCCGCCATCTGCCTCGAAGGACACGGTCGCCAGCCGGTCGATGGTGAGGTGGATATTTCGAATACCGTAGGATGGTTCACCACTGTCCTCCCAGTACATGCCCCCTGCGTCGCGGGACAAGGCCTGGTTGAGTTTTTAAGAAACGTCAAGGATGCAAGGTTCCAAGCCGAGAACACGGGCGCCGACTTCTTCGCCGCCCAGACGGTTTCCCTGGCCTCAGACCTGAAAGTCCCAGAAATTCTGATGAATTTCACTGGCGTCCAGCATGAAGTTGATCACGACGCAGGAGGGGGCCTATTCTTGGCCGATCCTGACGGCTGTGGCGATCAGTACGACTTCAGCGACAACATGCGCCGCTTTGCCGTCTTTGACGTCGCCGCCTGTGTGAAAGATGGCAGGCTTCACTTTGAGTTTCTGTACAGCCCCAACATCAAATACTCGGCAAATGTGGGGGACTGGATCTCCAACTGCAAGTACGTGCTGCAGGATCTATCGACAAGACTGGCTCTCGCATCACCTCAGCCGACCCTCTCGGACTACCCGCATATTGCGCTCACGTATCCCGAGTTGTACAAGCTCGAGTCCCATCTGCAGCGGCTCGGCATTGCCACGGCTCGAAAAGACGACGGTCTCAGGGCTTCCTCCATCTACCCAGCAACGCCCCTGCAGGTCCAAATGCTCCGTGCCCAGCAAGCGAACTCCAACTGCTGGCGCCCAAGTCTAGTATTCAGAGTGGCCACACGCGATGGATCGCCCATCGAGCTGCAAGGCCTGTCGACCGCGTGGCGACAAGTCATCGCAGCCCACCAGATTCTGCGGACAATCTTGATACCAGACACACGAAAAGGCATGGCCGGGTTCCTCAACGTGGTGGTCGAGGACTACCCTGGTGCCCGCTTGGTTGACATCAGCACCACCGTGGATTTCCAAGCACTGCCTCGAACCGAGTGGCAGTCGGGTGAGCCACAGCATCTCCTCACCATCCTAAAGCACAGCCCGACGAGTGCCTTGTGTCGCTTGGAGGTCAACCATGCCCTGATCGACCATGGTTCCATGCCAATGGTGTTGGACGCATTCTCGCAGGCCTACGCAGGCAAGCCGGCGGGGATGGCTGCCTGCCCATACCAAGAATACGCTGCGCAGCTTTCCAAGGTGCCAGCCGATGCCGGCTTGAATTTCTGGCGATCCTACTTGAAGAATGCCGAGGCGTCTCAAACGACGGACGGACCTACAGGTGACGTCCGCATGTACGGAATTGAAAGAACATTTGCGACACCGATCGACCTAGCCCAGGCCACCAAGCACCTGTCCAAAGCCTCGGAAACCTCGGGCATCACGCCAGCAACCATCTTCCGTCTGGCCTGGGCCCTGGTGCTGGGCGCGCACACGGGAAAGGACGATGTCGTATTTGGCTTCTTGGTATCGGGTCGGGACGCACCGTTTGACAATATCGACCGTGTCGTGGGCCCCGTTTTTAACATCGTCGCCTGTCGAGTCCCGGATATCAGGAGAGGGACGCTGGAGCTGCTCCGATGCGTCCAGGACGACTTCTTCGCCGGCTCGAAGCACCAGCATTACCTGGCGACGTACTTGGCGGCAGAGCGTACCGAATTGTTCGACTCGGTCGTCAACTTCCGGCGACATGGGAAAGCCGTGGGTGGCGGCAAGCATGAAAGCTCCGGTCCACTCGTGTTTGAGGAGTTGCCCGGTATTAGCGAGGATCCTTACGAGGTAAATTAATGATTTCTTTTCAGCCCCAGACAGACCATCTCGGTCATGAGCTGACGCAACCGCACAGTATGCCACGGTCGTGGAGATAGACAGTTACGACGGTATCGGTATTGAAGCAAGTCTCACGTGCTGGTCGGAGTTGGTATCGAGGGAACTTGCTGGACGATTGGCAACCAAGTTCAGTGCGGCTCTTTCGAAGATTGTTGATGATGTGCTCAGCGTGTCTGCGTCTTAATAGGATAGGGCTATCTTAAAGCTAAGTCTAGAATCAACTAGAAGCGCGTATGTGAAGCAAACCTTAGAAGAAACGTGATAACTCAATAGACACTGCAGCCTTTAACAAAGTAATCCTAGGGCTCATAATCTCTGTCACCTGAATATGTTTGTCATATTTAGCATCAGTAGATATCCCTCACTGATCTGACCAGGCAACTCCTTGCAGAACTCATCCAAATAGACAGCAGTAGTTACTACTCTAGGACATATTCGTATTGCTTTCCCATCTGCACCTCGCAACCTGACACCTACCAGAATATAGCACCTGGTAAGGATTTACCTACCTATCAATTAGCACCTGAGCCCCCTGTATGCGTGCCCCAGCAATCCTCCTCTTGCCTTGATGTCCATTCTCAAAGCCGCGAACCAGACACACTTCTACGATCAGGGACAGGCGTCACGGAAGCAGGCCAGCGTTCAAGTTACGTTTCGCTACCCATACCAAGATGTCTTGGGTCCTTTGGGCCGCTGGGGCAGATTTTCCCGAGCCCCTCAACACCGAGTTCAACACCGAGTCTCATTGATCATCAAGCTGACATGGAGTCGAAGTCCCGAGCCCCATTGTGCAGATATGCGCAGATCCTAGTTTGCATTTGGGAGCTCGGAATTGAACGGTGTCGTCGCGCCCTGAAGGGGGGCGGGGGCGAAATCGGCGTTTTCACGGAGTTCAGGCCAACTGCCGGAGTTCATATGCTGGCTTGAATCCGTGGTTGCAGTATGCCGTCCGGACTTTCAGCTACATGTAAAAGTAAAATAAAAATGATAATATTTTTGTAAGCCCACTTCTAGGAGTAAGTTATAATTAAGTTAGTAAAGGTCATGAAAGCTGGGTATGTGGTTGCGTAGGAATACAAAGACGCTATATAATTGAGGGACGGAATACCCATTTACGCCGCGGAAACCAACAATCATCGAGCTCTTGTCTACCCAAATTCTCTAATTCCATACCCCCAAGCTGCATACGATGGCGAACAATGTCGTGCTTCACTTCCGGGCCGAGGCTGCTCCTCTTGGTTACCTGGCCATCTTGACCCCTGAATCGACACGCCAGCTCGTTGAAGCTGGGATGAAGGTTCACGTCGAACGCAGCACGGTTCGTTGTTTTGCCGACCAAGAGTATGAAGCCGTGGGCGCGAAGCTGGTCCCCCCTGATTCGTGGCCCGATGCTCCAATCGATCACATCATCCTCGGCATCAAGGAGCCCGAGAACCTCAAGGACATCCAGGCGCTAAAACACACACACATCTACTCGGGATACTACTACAAGCAGCAGAAGAACTCGGTCGAGGGACTGCAGCGGTACATTCGCGGCGGTGGTACCTTCCTCGACCTGGGCTCGACGAAGCACGGGATCGGCAACCAGACCGACGTCTTCGGTCGCTTCACTGGCATCGGCGGCTTCGCGGCGGCGTTGAAGGCCTGGAGACATCAGCTGGAGCATCCCGATGGCGTGACACCCATGCAACCTGTCAAGATCCATGACTCTCTGGAGTCTCTTGTCCAGGAGGCCAAGGCCAACCTTGACAAAGGCATCGAGATCACCGGGCGGTATCCCCGCGTTGCAATTGTAGGCCCGGCCGGACGCACTGGCTCTGGGTGTCTCTCGCTCTGTCGGGCAGTGGGCATCCCCGAGAACAACATCTTGAAATGGGGCCGAGAGGAAACTTCTCGACCAGGACCGCGCGACGACCTACTGCAGAGCGACATCCTGGTGAACTGCCTCTACACGAACCGGCGCATCAACCCTTTGATCGACGACCAGGCTCTCAAGAGGCCACGGAAGCTGTCCATCATCGTCGATATCTCGTGTGACTACCAGGGTCCCTACCACGCGCTCCCCATCTACTGGCAGCCCTCGCACTTCGACAACCTCGCCATGCCCGTTTCGGTGCCCTTTGGGCCACCTCTGACGGTCGTGGCGTGCAACTATTACGCCGCCATGGTCCCCCGAGACACGAGCGAGTACGCGACCAAGGCCCTGCTGCCATTCTTTACTTCTCTGATTGGGTGGAAACAGGGGGAGACATGGCGCAAGCTCGAGCGCCTGTTCTGGGTCAAGAGCGACGCGATTCCTCAGAGCGAGCGGCTTGCAAAACTATAGGCTTGTTCTGTTAGCAGCATCACATCTTGTAATTAGCTAATTAGCTTTTCAATAAGTACCATTCATTCTCAGACCTCTGGGCCTACACTCGCAAGACCAAGCTCTAATTATATAATTATCTCCTTGTTAGTACTACGTATATATAGATTCTCATTCACACAGGATCCAAAGATATGTGCTGCTTCATACCACTTTTCCATTAGAGTGCTAACATCACTTACATTGAAAATAGACCTCTGCCATTGCCTCCAAGTATTCTAGGGATTCAGGTTCGTGTCTTTGTGTGAAGTGTTAACTACCTGCCTAAAATGGCAGACTGTAGCCCGGGTCTGTTGGAGCAGCAGGCACCGGACAAATCCCGGTCCCGAATGTTGGTCGTGACGGGATCCCAGGGGCGAATGTCACAATACCTAAGGTCTGTTGGTTGGGCGGAGTTCCCCTGCAGGATGATGGATCGACCGGAGTTCATTTTTGGGCAGTCACCGGAATCTCTCAACTTCCCCCGCAGAGTGTGAGCTTCGTGGAACCATCGCCTGTACCGTCATTTATCTACAAGGGCTAAATCGCCTTTTAGTCGCAATCGCTTTCCCACGGGCGAGACCGGTTTTCCAGGTTCCTCTACAAGCTCCCTCCATATGGAGTCGACCCAGGATGATGTAGCTGCAGCTGCAGTTCCGACTCGCAGGGACGAAAAGATCGGCACAGACACAAACGACACCGGCCGTGCTGCCACAGAGGACGAGATCAAGACGCTCCGTCACGTAACCGATCGCATTCCTCTACGAGTGTGGCTGGTGGCTTTCATCGCAGCCGCTGAGCGTTTTACCTACTGGTCAACACAAGTCACATGGCAGAACTACAGTATGTACAATACATACATACATGTCATATTACATCTGGCTTGGCTATCCAGCAATGACTAAATAAACCTCCTGCTCGCAGTCCAGTACGGTCCCGACGATGAGATTACGGGGGTTCTCGGCCTTGGCCAGGCCACGGCCGTGACAATCAATAATGCATTCAGTACCATCGTCTACGTACTTCCGATCGTCATAGGACCGATTGCCGACGGCCGGTTAGGACGCTATCGGACTCTTCAGATATGCACCATCATATACCTCGCTGGCATGACCGTGCTGTTGGGCTTCTCCACGCCCTCTGCCGTTGCCGCCGGAGTAGCCCTTCCCGGCTTCGTCGTCGCTTTATGTCTCATAGGTATCGGTGTGGGAGGGGTGCAGACGGTGACTGCCCCTCTGATAGCAGACCAGTACGACGAGACCGTTGCGAGGATTGCATACCGAAAGAATGGCGAGCGTGTTGTCATCGACCGTGATATGACCATCCACTACATATACAGTATTTACTGGTGGATGGCCAATGCCGCGTCGCTCGGCCAGATTCCCACCACCTTGATGGAGAAATATGTCAGCTTTTGGAGCGCCTACACCCTGACAACTGGCGTGCTGGCCCTCTCAAGCTCCCTTCTCTGGCTCGGAAAAAAACACTTCGGTGAGTGGAATGGACAATATGAAGAGTCAGAGGCTGAACCCTTATTTTCAAAACAGTCCTCTGCGCCCCGTCGGGGACAGACTTGCCTCGCGCCTTTCGAGTTCTCTGGATCGCCGCCACATCAGGCTTTAGTCTGCAGGCGGCGATGCCTGACGCTCAGCTTGCGCGTGGGAATCAAGTCGGTTGGGAGGACGACTTCGTGAGCGACATCCGTCAAGCCTTGATGGCTGTGAAGGTTTGGTGAGCTCGACCCACAATCCCGTCATCCCACGACTGCACTTAATACTGACCGCACCGAACAACAAACAGCTTGGTCTGGCCCATTCTTCGTCTCTGCATCGGCCACACCAGCTCCAACTCCATCGCACAAGCCGGGCAGATGCAAACGGTGGGCATACCAAACGACCTCCTCATGGCGTCCAATTCCATCGCGCTGGTCATCGTCGGCCTCTTTGTGGAGAACTGGCTCTACCCCGTCCTCGAGAAGCGCAGGATTGCCTTTGGGGAGATGAAGCGCATCACCCTGGGGCTCTTCGTCATGGCGCTCTCGATGGCCTACGGGACCGTCGTGCAGGCCCTGATATACGGCGCGCCCCCTTGCTACAACTTCCCGCTGCAGTGCCCCGAGTCGAACGGCGGAACCGTGCCCAACGACATCAACGTGCTGGTCCAGCTGCCGTTATACATCATCATCTCCGTCAGCGAGGTGTTCGCCTTCGTCACCGGGAGCGCGTACATGTACAAGAAGGCACCGAAGAACATGAAGAGCATCCTGCAGAGCTTCTTCGCCGCCATGTCTGGCGTTGGGTACCTTCTTGCCGTTGCTATTAGCCCGGCAGCGCGGAATCCTGACCAGGTCATATTGTGGGGGAGCGTGACCGGCGTGATGGGACTGGCAACGCTTGTTTTCTGGATCTGCTTTAGAAGCTACGATAAAAGGGACTCGTTGAGATGAATCATGTTAAGAAACTACTAGATCTCACCGGTATAGATACTAGCGTTAGATAGTAAACGACAGAGGAGGGAACGGGGCTTATAGAGATTATATGTGTAAGCCTGCTATTGCAGGTTACTAGCTAATTAGGAATTGCGAGTGCCTCCTGACTTAATTAGTAGTTGAGAGCCGAGTACAGGCCTATAAGTGCGCTCGATTGATTAGATTGAGATCTGAGTGGGTTTAACTTTACTCTTAGTTCTAAAGTCATCTAACAACTCGCGCCCCGCATTGGCGTTTCTTTACGCATTCGTCCATGTTAGTCAAGTTGGAATTCTCCACTCACAATAACCCAACTTCTTTTACGGTGGTAAAGCTATCAATCGTGGGCCGGGTTCGGTTAGTCGGTACAGAATTGCGTTGCCATCTCCACTGCAGCCATGCTACTTTGCAGAGCAACGTCCTCCCACTCTTCGTGACAAATAATACCACTCTTGTTGTCTAGAACGCTCAGGCGGATCCACGAACGCTTTACAAGAAGGATGTCCTCAACGACAGAATCATGCCCACGTGAGCAGAGCCTTTCAGAGCCTCCACGATTCATCAACAAACCCATCGACGAAGAAACCCTACCAACCTACCGTCCAAATGACCTCCATCCAACCCAACCGGGGCTGGTTCTCAATGAAACATATCGGACGATCACGAAGCTGGGATATGGTGCGGGTTCCACATGTGGTTGGCGGAAAACTTGAAATAATATTAGGCCTTTCCTTTGAAGATAGCGAAGTCCTTCAGCAGTCGCACTCTGACCCTTCTAGGAGTAGGAGCACAGGCGAATCTCCTCAGGAGGTCACCGTCCACGGCCAACCCTTCGCATCCCGGTACGCGTTTCATAAGAACCCCAATCAATAACTTTCAGATACATGGGCCTCATGGATTACATACCTGCCTCGTCTACCACCGATGAGGGAGACTCTATTCCCACTTTCGAGGCAAAGACGATGGCGAACTACCTTCAGTGTTGGAAGCGTATATTTCGATATTTGCTTGGAGGCAGTTTGCTACTCATGCATGGGGTCTGTGCGCCACAGGTGGCGACGGGCCGGGGACATTTTGCCAGGTGGTCCAAAGTCAACAATGACAGCGAAAGTGATGGCAACAGCGATGGTGAGCCAGCGACAATAGCAATGGCGATAAGAAGACTGCCACCTGCTAGAAACCCTGCCGGCCTGCCACTAATAAGACGTCGAAACGAGTGGCCGTGGATGAGTTCCTGCCCAACAAACGTTGTTGGGCAGGAGGCACTGCAGCCTCAAACCGAAAGGGGTGCGAAAAGGATGGCTTGCGGCTTTCAGCTCGCCTCCACCCCGCCTTTCCTTCAGCAACTTCAGATTTTCGCTCAATTGCCCGCACCTCGAACAATGAGTCGTTGGAAGCGTTGGAGATCAAGAAAACCCAGCTCAGATATCGGGCCGGGTTCAGACAACGAAGGCCAGACAGAAGAGCTCTTCTCAACGGTCGGGGACTACGGCCTCCGCACCCTCTCTGAAGGCCAGGATGTTATAGTAGAGTGAGTATCCTCCTGATTCATCGCCATCGGGGTTGTGTCTGTAACACATCATTGCAGCATCGTTTTCGTTCATGGTCTTACAGGCAATCGCGAGACAACCTGGACGCATGGGAAGTCCGTGTTTTGGCCGAAGGATCTCCTGGCGAAGGACCTCCCAAACGCCAGAATCCTCACGTTCGGCTATGATGCCGACATCATCCGCGGGCTGAACACGGCAGGTTCGAACACGTTACGGGACCACGGCAAGGCTTTGGCCAATGACGTTGCAATGAGGAGAACAAGAACGAATTCTGTAAGCAATGCATGTTTCTTTGACAACGAGTCTGGGGCATTGACAGCAGTCACAGAGTCTGCGCCCTATCATCTTCGCTGCCCACAGTCTTGGTGGATTGGTTGTTGAACAAGTGAGTCCCCCCCAAGGAACTTTGAAGCTATTGCTACCCCCTTCAAAAACAACTCCTGATTATTGGGCGATTCAGGCTCTCCTCGTTTCCCGCGGATCAGCGCAGCAGCATGAAAAGTATCTGCTCGAAAGCACTATCGCCATCGCTTTCATGGGAACGCCACATCTTGGGTCCAACCTCGCCAACTGGAGCGCCCCTCTCACGAAGCTGTCGAACCTACTGAGGAAGACAAACAGCGAGATAGTTGGCGTCTTGCGCCCAGGCTCGGAAATGCTCGCTAGCCTCCAGCAGGAGTTCCATACTATGCTAGAGGATCGGAGCCGCAATGGGGGGAAGTTCATGGAGATATTTTGCTTCTACGAAGAAGTAGCGTACCCGGGGATCGGTGAGGTGCGTTTCGTGGCCTTGTCCCCCATTGTTCACGTAACCCGCATGACAATGTTGCTAACGAGGCCTGCAGATTGTCCCAAGGCAGTCCGCAATCTTGCCCCGCTACCCAAACATAGCTATCCACGCAACGCACACTGGTATGACGAAGTTCAGGGGGCAAGGGGATACGGGCTATGGGCGAGTTCGTGACCAGCTATGGCTCTGGGTCGAGAAGGCTAAGCGGGAGTCAGGTATGAACTAGCGTTCTCTACGGCATGTTACTTTAAGCTGAATGTATCGCTATACAGACCAGCCAGACCAAAACCCACCCGAGCCCTCACAACTCTCACAACTCTCACAACTCTCACAACTGTCACAAGATTGCTTGAAATCACTGGCTTTCCCAGACATGAACAGCCGCTCCCATGACATTGCCCACGCCGTCACAGGGACATGTGAATGGCTCCTTCCACACGAGATGTATAAGTGCTGGGCTGCTTGCGATCAAGGCCTGCTCTGGATCAAGGGGAAGCCAGGCTCTGGGAAGTCGACATTGCTAAAATACGCCCTTGACAATCGCAGAGACATAACCGGCGCTAAAGACGGCAACCTTGTTCTTTCGTTCTTCTTCCACGGTCGCGGCAATGAACTCCAAAAGACTCCCTGTGGCCTTTTCCGGTCTCTCCTTCATCAGGTCCTTGGGCAGGCCCCTAACGCATTGCCAGACCTTGTCGACACTTTTGAAAAACGGTGCAAGGAAATGGGCAAGCCAGAAGAAAAGTGGCACTGGCATCCAGAAGAACTGTGGGGCTTCTTCAAGTCATCTCTTCCAAACATCCTCACAACTCGCTCAGTCTGGCTATTTATCGATGCATTAGACGAATGTGGCGAAGAGCATGCAGTCAACCTTGCTGACAAGTTCAAGTCCTTGTTCCAAGGTCACATACCCATGGACTCGCAGTTTCATATCTGCTTTACCTGTCGACACTATCCGATTTTGAATGCATACTGCAAGTTCGAAATTTGCCTTGAGGAGGAGAACAAGGAGGACATTTCTACTTCTGTGAATGACTGGCTTTCTGCATTCCATATGCGAACACCATCTACGATTCCAGCTTTAATTACGGAACATGCCGCCGGTGTTTTTATGTGGGCACGTCTTGTGGTAGACCAAGTTCTGGACCTTGAGCGCAAGGGCAAGGGATTGGCAGCGATTGAAGCAAAAATCCATGCGGTCCCTCAGAAGCTCGATGCCCTATACCATGACCTCACCCAAACGATGGAACCGGCCTCTCTGAAACTCATTCAATGGATCTGTTTTGCCACGCGGCCTCTGTCAGTCGATGAATTGCGGTGGGCCATGGTTGTCGACCCCAATTGCCCATACCGCACATTGCTGGAATACGAGAGCGCAGAAGACTATATTCCTGACGGCGATCGGATGAAGAGACAAGTTCAGACGCTTAGTTGCGGTCTTGCCGAGGTCATCCCATCCGTCCGGTCAACACTGTCATCGGATGCGGCGTCTACGCTGTCATCGGACGCGGAGTCTACGCTGTCAGGGGATGTGGGGGTTGTTCAGTTCATCCATCAGTCTGTCAAGGACTTCTTTGTTGGGAAGGGCTTATTAGCACTCGACAGCAGCTTAACGCCAACCCATGAAGCAATCAGAATGTCACACTTTCGACTATCCAGGATTTGCATACGCTACTTATCAATGGAGGAGATCAGTCAGTCAACAAGCTACAAGAATAGCGACTTTCCTTTCTTGCGCTACGTTACAACCTCGTGGGTGGCGCATACAAAGCAAAGCGACACTAGATGCACCCCTCAAGAGGATATTCTAGACTTGTTTGCTTGGCCGTCAAACGCTCTTGTGGAACTCTGGGGACGTGTTTACGGAATAATAGGTAAGTATTCCAATGACTGTCCACCAACAGAGACCAATCTGGTACACGTTATGTCGAGGTATGAGGTCTTAGGGCCGTTAATAGCCATTTTACAAAGGGCAGATCAAGTTGCCAGCGATATCGATACTAAGGATCTTGCCTATATCGACGCAAAGGATGGATATGGCCGGACGCCGCTGTCGTGGGCTGCCGCGGGGGGGCACGAGGCTGTCGTCAGGCTATTGCTTAGCACAGGCAAGGTCGAGATCGACGCAAAGGATGGATATGGCTGGACGCCGCTGTCGCGGGCTGCCGCGGGGGGGCACGAGGCTGTCGTCAGGCTATTGCTTAGCACAGGCAAGGTCGAGATCGACGCAAAGGATGGATATGGCCGGACGCCG